ACAAATACCTTTTTAAAAAATTAAATAAAATTATTTTCTCTAATAAAATGTTTGTCATTCTATATATCTTTCATGTCCTCGAAAATAGGGTTGGCGGATCCGGATATCAGGATCCGAAAATGACAAGATATTCGGAAATTTTCGATTCGGATATCGGATCTGGATATCCGGTGAATGCGCCAATCTTACTCGAAAATTGCATGGAATTAGAGGGGAGTCATTCAATTAAGTTTTCTATTAGAGGGGATAACATAGGTATATATTACAATTATTTAAAAAATATCTACTTTGATTTAATTTCCGGCAAAATATAAGGGAAGGTATATCCTGTTGATGTGTTGAAAGTGAAGAAATTTGCCAAAAAGAATTATTAATTACTTTTTCAGCTTGATCCCAACCAGATAATAATCGTTTAATATAATCCCTTTTAAAAATAATATATTCCTTTATTTAATTAATTATTTACATTGTAACATTATGTTTACTAGTTCCAGTAACAGCATCATGATGTGTAGATAAAGCTAAAGCCCCTTCCAATTTTAGTAATAAGGGAAATGAGGGTTCACATTCATTAGAAGGGCAATAAAAGGGTTTTGATAATATTTTGGAAAAAGAAGCTAATTTTTGTGATAATTGAAGTAATGCCGATGAGAAACGAACAAGACACTATTTTTTAAAAATTATTAAAAAATATTTTTAGAATATACTTTAAATGCAGGCTTTGAAGTAAAATAACCAGTCCAATAAGAATGATTAGAACTTGCATAAGGAAAGAAATCTCCATTAATTTTTGAAGGAAAACTTTTTGTTAATAAATTAGATTCAACTAATTCCAAAGCTTTAGCATAACAACCAGGCGTTGAATAAAAAGCATAAATCTTTTTTTAGATGAATTTTATATAATTAAAAAAAATAAAATTAATTTTTACTCCAGTTTTATTTGTTCGAGAATTAATTGCCGAAATAAGTTTATCAAGTTGAGTAAACCATTGATTGGCATTTGAATACTAAAATTTAATTTTAAATTATTTCCATTCAAAATTTACATGAAAATCTCCCCCCATAGTCATAAGTACATGTTTATGTAATTGTGTATTAACAGAATCATTAATATATTTAAAAAATTCTTCCAATCTTTTATCAACATTATAACCTTCAAATTGTTTATTATCAACTATAGGTTCATCATCACATAAAGAATCAAAACAAAATTTATTAGGAGGGGCATAAGTGCCGCGGAGGAAGGCGCCAGTTAAAATTGAATTATCTGACTGTTTTTTTAATAAATTTAATTTAAAAATAAGGTTTCTACATTAATTTCTTCTTCCTCATCAGAAGTAACTTTCCATCTAAATTCTAATTGTTTATTATCAGCTCTATATTTCAATTCCTTATAATGTGTTCTAGCAAAAAACAAAGCTTTATTTCCCAACAATTTTGCAATATTTGAATGTTCTCTTGAATGCCCAAAAGGATCAATTTGCCAAGCAACCCTTGGTCTACCACAATTTCCATAAGTTGAATTTAAAAGTGCCAAACCAGTAGAATATTGGGAAATAATATCTATATAATGAGTTGTTGCCTAATTTTTTAAATAAAAATTATTTTCCTATAATTCTTCCTCTCTCCTCTACCTCATCAGGTTGTGTCCAACCTCCACCAATTATTTCCATTTGTCCACTTTCCACAATTAAATGCCTTAATTTTTCTTTTTGTTCATTATTATGATCTAAAAGCCATCGATGGAGAAATCCAGCCTCTGCATAGCAAAAACGCCTAGAGGGATTTTTAAGCAATTCATCAATAACTGTATTTAAAATATATTGAACACCAACAGGTACAAGTCTAGGACGAGCTTTAAAAGTATTTATTTGTTCAAGTATTTTAGTAAATAAATACCTCCCGTATAATAATCATCAACTGTTTTAATCCACCCCATATCATCGTGACTGTGAAAAATATTTTGAAGATGGGAAAAATATTTATAAAAATAAAAAGATACGAATGTGGAACAAGATGAACATTAATTATATTTAGCGAGTCTGACCATTCTGGACAATTCTAAAATAAATATAGTCGGACCTCAATTAAAATTTTTAAAATTTGTTTGGCCTATATAATCAATGTTATATTTAACAACTTCCTTATAAGATATAATTATTTTAGGTCTGTACATAAAACGGAGGTCCAATTGTATTATTTAATTAATATTATTTAAATAATAATTAAAATACTTATTAGTAAAATGAAAAAAAACTTACATCCCAAGCACATTTTTCTGATTTAACATTGAAGAATAATAATAGTAAAATAAATAATAATATAGAAAACATTTTAATTATTCTTATTATTAATTATTAAAATTTAAATTAATTATAAATTTAGAAAAAAAATAAAATTTTATTCAAAAATAATATTTTTACCAGAATAATATTCATAAAAATAAAATGATTTGGTAATTTATATTTATTGCCTTAGGTATTCTTTGCGACCTAGAAATTTTGTTAAACTTTAATTACAATTTTTAATTTTACTGTTACAAAATAAGTGTTTTTTGATGAAAATTAAATTTAAATAAAACAATTTTAGAGAGAAAAATTTTATTTTATATTTCAACGTGTCAGAGAACAAGTTTTCTTTGAATTTATTCCATTTAAATATTTGAATAAAAAAATTTTTTTACGATAATTGTTAAAATATTAATAAGAGAAACAAATTTTTATGCCCATGATTTAAATATTTTATCTCAACTCCAAAATTGTTTTCCCCTCATCGAATAAATTTTCCATGCTTCTATCATCTTACCGCCTTTACTAGTTGTCCCATCTCCCTTATCATCTTCCGTCTTAGATGCCTAGGGAGTTCAGGGGCATTTTATAAATATCGAACCAGAATAATATGACATGTAAATTATTTAAAAATATTTAATTAAAATAATTCTTTTTTTTTATTTAAAGTTTAAAAAAGAGAAAAGTAATATATTTATTTTGTTTTAAAAATCAATTAAACCTTCGATCTTTATAAATATTTTGTCAGTAAACGATAAATAAAAGAGAATTAATGAAAAATGGCTTTTGTTCTATTTTCTTTAATGGAACAAAGAAATAAATATATAAAGCTTATAATTAATCTTATAAATTTAAAATAAAATAAAAATGTTTTAAAAATTGGAAAGTTTCCCACAAGAATATCTTTCTTATCAATATCGTTGCCTGATTAAATAATCCGACTTTCTTTTGAAACTTCTGAGAAATAAAATCAAAACGAAGTATTAAGTTAATTTTTGTTTGATTTTTTTGAAAATATATTTTAAATTTATTTTAATTATTTATTTTTGATATTGTTGCAAATAAATTAAATTAGGTATAAATGAAAAAAGAACCTATATTGTAAGCATAACAATAATGCTTTTGACTTAAAGTAAGTCATAAATAACAAATTTTTATATATTTTTTGGAAATTTTTTTAAAGTAAAATCTCACTCAAACCACGATTAAATTAACGCCAATGCATCTGAAATTAATTTAACACCCTGTACTACTCCAATCGTCGGGGTTAAATTTATTTGATTAAAACTTTAAGATTTATCAAAAATTTATTATACCCTTTTTAAATGTATAATAAAATAATAAAGATTTATACTCGTCAAAGAAATGAATAAAATATATATTATAGTGAGATAGAATTAGTGCCATTGTTTTTGCTATACTACAAATAGCTTTTACCAGATCGTTAAATATAGATTAAAGAAAATATGGAATGAGGTGTTTGGTTGTAAATATTGTACTCAAATTATTATACAATAAAAAATTTTTGCTCGATTAAATCAGAAAACTTTATATATTTTAATGGCTAATTAACTAAATCTTATAAAAAATCTTTAAAAATTTATATATTTTTATACATAATTCTCTTCCTAAAAGCAAAAATTTTAAACAAACACACAAACACAAAAAGTTTTAAATAAAGAAAATCAGAGGAAGTGATACATTTTAAAAAATATTTTTAAAAATTTAAAAAAGTCTTTAATACAAATTAATTTATCTAAAGAGCAAAAGAAATATATAATAGACCAGTAAAAATATATATATTTACGTAAAATTAAAATACATATAATAATAATATAATATATTCCCAATATATATATCACAAAAAATATTTTCTAATTCTCGTATATGAAATAAATTTTTGGTACTTTTCGATTATACAACCTTTCCTTAAATTAATCAGATCTTATTGGTGTCAAAGTGTGTGGATTATGAATATGAAGATGGATTTTGAACACCCTTTTTCGTCTCCGGGGCTAAGCTAAATTTTAGGATAAAATTTTGTTTTTGCAATTTATACTCGTTTGAAGCAGTAAAACAGTAAAATTAATTTAAGAGAGTATAATCGAAAAGTACCAAATTGTCTAATAAAAAAATATAATATATATCAATCGCCGGTTACTGACAAAATTTAAAAATAATTAATAAACTCGTGTGTGGTCACAAATGTTGCGTTGTTTTCAACGGGAAAATACATAATTAAAGAAAGCAAAAAAGGAAATAATAATAAAATGATGAAATGAGTAAAATATATTGAAATAAAATTAAAGATGAATAAAATATAGAAGTTGGATAAAATTTTAGAAAAAATAAAGAAAACTTATTATTATTATTCAAATATATACTTCTAATTATTTTTAAGGAATTGTGTTTGAATACATAAAAAACTCTCAAATTTCAAATTTATTTTCTAAAAAAAATATATATGGTTACATATTTATATAAACACAAAATATTTGAGTTACATATAATTATTAAAAATCCATTTCGGAAACAAAAAGAGGTGTGTGTTGTTTGGGATAAATATTTAATACAGAAAAAGGAAAAAAGGGACGGAAGCCAATTTTGAAAGAAAAGAAAAAATGAGGAGAATATTTATTTATAAATATATATTTTTTGGCTATATTTAATAATAAAAAATCTATTTATATATTTATTTATTTTTAATAAAAGTCAAGCACTGCTAATTGTTGTAGCAGAGGAGGGAGTTGTTTTAGAAATTGTTGTTGTTGTTGTGGATGTTGGGGAAATAATAACATTTGAATGAAGAATTTTAGGTGAAGAAGAATTTTTATTTTCTTCTTCTTCTTCCTCCTTTTTTTCTTCTTCTTTTTTCAAATTTTCCTCAATTTTTATTTTTTTAGGTTTACATTCCCCTTCATCTTCTTCTTCCTCCTCCTTCTCTTTTTCTTCTTTTTGTTCTTTAGATGTTGTTTCTGTTGGCTCTAATTTAATTTTTGAATCTTCTTTTGTTTTTATTCGGAAGAATTCTTGGAATAGAGAGCCTTCTGCCTGCTTTTTGTTAATTTTGTCTGGAGGGAATAAATCTGGAACTTTTTTGGTTACATCCTTCAACAGACTAAACGCTTCATCAAGCTTTAAAAAAGAAAAATTTAATTTTCAATTCTTTCAAATTCAAATAAATTACCGTTTCATATATAATTTTTGCCTCATCTGGGCCATAAGCAGATTCAACATATCTACAAAAATAATTATAAATTCACACTTTCATATTTTATTCAAACCTTCTCAACAATTGTTTATGATTGTGGTAATGTTTATCTGCTAAAGTCCGGTCTTCAGCACTTAAATCAGTATCCGCATAATGACTGAACAATACAACAACAATAATCTAATAATTAAATATTTTGATAGTTAGGGGACAAAAAATAATTAAATTACCAAATTATTAGCAACTTGATCTGATTTTAATTTTGGATGAAGTTTTTTGTAAAAACTTTAAAAGAAAAAAATATTTAATTTAATTCAAAAATTAAATTAATTTACTCCATAACACGACTTTTTTGCATATCATCATTTAATCTATCAAAAATGTCAATTCTGCAACGAATATCTCTATTTAAAAGAGGACTTTTCCAACAACGATTTTCTGAATCCAAACGAGAAGCTCTACAAAAGATTATTTTGATTTTAAATTTTGTTTAAGTCTATATACCCTCTAAGTGTCAACAAATCAATCATTGCTGCTTTCAGGAGAGAAAATTTACCACTATTACTAAATTCCGCAAAAGACGGCAATTTCTTTGCCATTTTAACTAAACGTCTCATCATCCTTTAAAATTAAATAAAATTTAATTTTGTATTGATATATTATTTATAGTATTTTGAGAGTTTTCAGTAGCAGTTCAATGCCTTTGAAATTTTAATTTTACTCGTACTTTATAAGACCTCTATTTTTTCTTATTTAGTACAAAGGCATAAGCTGCGATTTCGAATTTTAGCACGAGATTCGATATAGAGTGACACAAGCATAATCATAAAAAATATAGAAATCTCATTTATACTCTTGAAATTTTTTAATTTTGCTTTGTTCAAGCTATCTCTTTAAGTAATCCCTGTAAATCCTGGAGTTTATTTTATTGTTTCATATTTTATTTATGCTCAATAATGGGAAAAATTGATCATTTCTTATATAAATATCAACATACATATCCAACAAACACATCATATCATCAGGACTTTGTGGTTGTTCTTTAGTCATTATACCCAAAAGTTTGGAATTCTTCAAAAATTCATTTTTCAATTCTTCATCCATACTATAAAAATGAATTTTTTAGAAAATTTCTAAGTAAAGAATTACCTCGAAAATGCTGATTTAACATAATTTAAGTCATTTTGTTCTTTAGAGTTTAATTGGTAATTCCTCAAATCAGTATAAACTAAAGAAGAATTTCCACTAATAGAATTAGAACGGCTAAGGGGAGAACTTCTTTCTTCAATTTTAATTGGATTTGGAGATAATGATTGTTGTAAATTATTTCCATCTGGAGGCGAATTCGAAATACCCAATTCGTCTCTAATTGTTTTATTAATCCTCATACTCATTAAACGTTCACGTGTGTTTGCATCCATTTCCATTAAAGTTTTAACTTCATTGTTGTTTGTCCCATTATTTGAAGGAGTTAAAGATGATCCATTATTTGACACTTGATTATTGTTAACATTATTAGAAGCTAAAAAATTAACATTTTTAAATATAAATTTTGTATTTATTCTACCATTTTTAGCGGCAGCTACAGCGGCTGCTGCAGCTTCCACCAAATTTTTTGGAATTGCTGAGGAATTTGTATTGGAATTAAATCCAGATAAATTGGAAGATATATTTGTATTTGTAACGTTATTGTTTCCATAAAGTCTAGCCAATATTGAAGCAGAATGTCCATTTCCAATATCTCCATTTTTAACTATTTGTGGACTAACAATTCCTTGTGATTGTTGACCTAATAACATTAATCTTTGACATTGTTCAACAAATGGAGAGACTGCAGCAACAGGAGATTGTTGATTTTGTTGTTGTTGTTGTTGAGCTGCAGCAGCAGATGCCAGAGAAATTAAACCGTCACTAGATTTTCTCAAAACGGCAGCAGCTTGTTGAAGCTGCGCTTTTTTCAATAATTGTTGTTGGGCTAAACGCAAAACTTGTGGATCATATCTTTGTTCGACATCTATAGGATGAGGATTTTGAAGTTGAGGCAAAATGGAAGGAGGTGAGTGAGTTCCAGTACTCGGAGAAGCCTGCAAAAATATTCAATTAGCTAATTTTGACCATAAAAATATTTTTAATGTTAAAATAATATCAGCTACTATTTCTTATACTTAATCTATATTCACTTTATTATCCAAAGATACTCCTCCACAAGCAAACAAATTTTGTTTTCCACCATAATCGGGACTGTTGCCCAAACCAAATGTTGCCAAAGGACTTGAATCCAATCCACTTGACAGAACAGAAGAAGCACCCGTAGGAGAATTTTTTGGTGATCCAGCCAGTTTTGTAATAGCTGCAGCAGCTGCAAGCAAGGGAGAATTCAGGGGAGAATGTGATTGGCCTTGAGTTTGATTGTGAAGTATACTAGCTGCTGCCATTGCAGCAACAGCATTAATAGAAGATTGTGGAGGTGGGGGTGTTTGTTGTTGCTGTTGAGTATGATGGAAAAACTGGAAAACAGAATTAATAAATAGGTATAATGATTGAGGAAATTACTTGTTGTTGTGGAGAGAAGGGATTAAGCCCTCCATTTCCATTCCCAACGTATGGAGTGACTGGAGCAACAGAACCAGGCATAGAACCTTCCCCAACACTTGAAGGGGTATTTGGTTGTTGATTTCCGTCTTTACCCATTTGATTTTTAACACGAGCATTTTTCCGTCTTCTTAACTGATCCTCACTTAAAATCCATTCTTTTTTCATTCCAACCATAAAACATTTACGAAGACGACATTTTTGACAAAATCTGAAGATTTAACATTTTTAAAGGTAAATAATTTTCTTTTTCACCTTCTACTAACAGCATTAATTTCACAATCATTAGAATATGGGCATTTAAACTCTTTTGGACGTAAAGCATTTCGTCGGAAGAATGCTTTACAAGATTCACAACTAAATAACAAATATTTTAATCCAAAACCTTCTCAGAATACAGAAATACCTAATAACATTAAAATTATATCCAGTAGCAGAATCCCCACAAACTCTACAAGTTTTCATTCTTCCAGCAGCTCCATCCCCCTGACAATTTCCATCATCCTCCATAGGTTGATTTTGTGTTTCCATTATTTGATATTGTTGCTGTTGTAATTGTTGTTGTTGTTGCTGTCTTTCAAGTAGAGAAGGTGGAGATTGGCCTTGGCATATTGGAGTTTTTGGCCCTCCAATATTTCCCCCATTCCCACCCATTGAGGCAATCATCATTGCAATATTTGCAGATGCAGTAGAAGAATTTAGTTGTTGGGAGTGATTATTGTTATTAGATGATGATTCTTCTTCAGTGTTTCCCTCCTGAAGAGAAATTATTTTAAAATTTTTAAATTTAAAATAAATTTATTTTCCATTTTATTTAAAATAAAAATATGATATAAAATTCATATAAAATGCTTATATTTTTAACATAAAGTGTGAACAAATATATATTTATAAAGATATGTATGTTGCTATTAAATGTTTTGCTTTAAATATATATAAATGTTTTTAACAAGTTTAATATCTCTAAAAAAGGTGTTCTCTTCTCAATTTAGAAAATGTTTGTGTACTTTTATTTATTTTAATATATTTATTTATTTCCTTTCTTGATTAAGGAGGAAAGAATTGTTTTTTTGTAGAATTTTAAACATATGAACGGAAAATAAATAGAAAAAAATGTTGCAGATACGTGTAAAGATTAGATGATAGGGGGAGAAAAATGTGAACATTTATATAATATTTAATTGATAATTTTATTAATAATTATCTTTTTGGAATTAAATGTTTAATCAATTAATTAACGAGGAAAATCTCTAGAAATTATTGTGTTTTGCTTTAATAAAATGATTTTTTTAATTAATAATTTTATTTAGCAAAATTTAAAATAGAAAACAAAAGGAAGGAAGGAAAAATAAATTTTAGAGGAAATAAGCGGCAAAAGATAAAAGAAAATTTAAATTAACTTAAATAAAGAGATGGCACTTCCTTTTTGACTAAAAAAATAAATGTTTATTTGATTATGTAAACATATCACTATGGAGGGATTTAAAGGGGGGACGGCGCTGTTAAAAACCTCTCTACTGTTATAGCTATGACTATCATCCCGTATAGAATGGATATATAGAGGTGAGGGATATAGAAAATTAAAGGGAAAAGATAAGGTAATTGTGAGGAGAGAGTCTTCATTTTAAATAGAGAGAAAGTCTGATTAGAGAAAAAGAGGATATTATTTGCTTTGTTGGCTTTTAAAGGGAGTGAAGGGGGGGGATTGATAGCAGATTTTGGGCAATTTAGAATGGAAATCGACGAAAAGGCAAGGCAAAAAGTTTTGGGGAGGGATGTGGAATTAATAAATTAGAGAATTTAAATGATGGTTATGCTTAAATAAAAATATGAACGATAAAAAGTAAAATCCGTAAGCGGTTTAGGGGGCAAATGCGCAAACAGTAGAGGAGAGGAGAGAAAACTTACGGAGAGAGTTAAATGAATAAAAATAAATAAAAAAAGGTTCGGGATTCATTTATAGAATATTTATAGAGATTGGAGTAAAAAAAGGTGAATAAACAGAAAATAGGTTTATCACTTAATATTATATATTAATTAGTTTTTAGAAGTTTTTTAAAGGTTTTTTTTTCTGTTTAATAATTAATTTATCTAGAAAACAAAAAAATAAAAAAATCTTTTAATTGAGGGGAAGACTTAAATTAATTAAATAAGATTTAATAATTTAAATGAGGGAGGGGTGGAAATAATTCAGACAAGTCAGCGATGTAAGAAAATGGACTAGATGTTGAGAAGGCCACGACAAATTGTCTAGAAAGTCTGAAAAAATACTTGAAGAAACTTTAAAAAATTTGCTTTTTAATGGTAGGAAGATAAAAATATGTAAAGAAAAATATGTAGATTAATAATTAGAAAAAGACAAAAAACGTTAATGGAATCATTATAAGATTTAGATACTAGTCAAGATGCCAAATCTTTCAATTTCCAAAAGAAAATCTCACTTTTCAATTTAAACAAAAGTGAAAGTCTCTCTAACAATTAACCCTTATCCCACTCCTTAAAATTAATTAATTGAATAAAGAGGAGAAACACAAGGAAATCATATGCCCATTATTTGCCAGCTTTGGCTATGTTTTTTAAGGCAAATTGATTAAAGATGATTGGCGGCATTTGCCTTTTTATCTATTTTAAATAAGATGTCTGAATTAAAAAAAATAATTGCGAAATAATGAGAAAATTTAAAAAGTTAAAATAGAAAAAGTCGGGGAAAAAATTAAAAATTTTAAGAGTCTCCAATAAATAAAAGTCTCTGAAACATCAATTTATATTGTAAAGAATATTTATATGATGTAGCTACCGTAAAAACTGTATAATGTCCCTCCCTCAAATAATTACCTCGCCTGTATTAGTTACCCCCTCCAACGAAAGGTTGAAACAATAATTACTCCCTTAAAAATAGCTATAATTAGCCTTTCTAAAATAACCTCTATTAATTACCCCGCCTCTATTTATTACACCCACCAGCGAGAGATTGAAACAATAATTACCCAGGGTAGTTAATACAGTTTTTACGGTATTTAACTCTTGAGGCTATGCATGAGGCGGCGTAGTGTAATGGATAAAAACATCGGTCCGTTCAACTGAGGATGCTGGTTCGATCCCGACTGCCAAAATACCCTCCTGTGTTAAATGAAGAAATAGTAGCTTAACGTCAGTTCAGATTTATTATGTTTTAATTTCAAGTTTTTGATAAATGAAGTGAATTTTAAAAAATAAATTTTTCTATAATGAGATAAATTTAGAAATTACTTTTTGGAATAATGCCAAAAATGAGGGAATTTACTTCAAATTATTCTTCTTACTTTTTAACATTAAAAAGGAAATATTGCGTATAAATGCACCCAAATGATAAAAAAAGTTTTTATTTATTTTTTTTAATAAAAAGTTAAAATATGAATAGGTGAAGAAGAAAAAAGAATAAAAGGATGAGGGGGAAAAATAAATAAAAATGAGGGGAAAGAGAAGAGAGAGAATAATAGAGGGGGGAAAGGAAAAAATAAAATATTATTTGCCAGGCTTTTAATGCCACGTGGATTCAATCACTCAATTACTCGTTTAAAGACTTCTAAACACGGATGCTTCTCTAAGGACTGTCAGACTTTGATTTTTGAAAGTCTGAAAATAAGAATTAAAACGTTCAAGTTGAAAGAAAAAAAAGATTTGGAGATGTCAAATAATGAGGGATATAAAATTAAAAATTGTTGAAGGATCAAGAAATTAATTAATTAATTATTAATATCAAAATTATTAATTATAAATAAAATAAAACTAAAATAAAACTTAATTTTTAACACGTGAAAATTAACTATATTAAAGTATTTATTTTTATATTAAAGTTAGTAACATTTGATATAAAAACTGAAAAGAATTAGAAAAGAACAAAAAAAGAATATAAAATAAATGTAATAAATACTTCTTAATTTCTTTAAAAAAATCCAAATTTAGCAACAAAAATATTTTATAGTTTGGCAAGTTTTTTGTAAATATAAAAACTTAATAAAAAGACACATATTTAATATACAACAAAGGAAAAAAACTTGAGATATATAAATTTCTAAAAATAAAAAATTAAAAAATTTTTTTTTAATGAATGATTAGTTAGAGGAAGGGGGAGAGAGGGGGGAAAGAGGGGAAGAAATAAATTGATTGATTGATCTGGAAGGAGAAAATGATTGGAAGAGATTCATGTGCCTTTAATTATATTGTTCCGAAATAGAATGTTTAATAGGGGATAAGGGGAAATAATTTTTTTAAAAAAGATCTAAAGAATTTTTTATATTTTTAAGGAACAAAGGAAATATTTAAAAAATTAATTGTAACAACCCCGACCAAAACCCCGATTGCTCTACTCCGACAAACCCTGATCTCTGTCATTCCTGACCCTGAAGGGGTTGGGTTGCTACTCTAATTTTAATTAAGAAATGCTTGATAATTACTCGATTTTACAAGGTAAATCAGAATTATTAAAATATAGATATTAGGGAAGTACATACAATTAAATAGAAGCAATTCATTAAAAGAAAAGTCTAGAAAATAATTAATAAAAAAATTTGAAATAAAATTTTGAATTTAAAAATTGTATTTATTAATATTAAAAATTAATTGAAAATGAAACAATTAGAAAATACAAAAAGATAAATCTTTTTAATCTTGTATAGTTTTAATGATGTGAAATTTGAATACAAATTAAAATAATTAACAAGGAATAATTAATTCTTTACAGACAATTTAAAAATTAGTGTAGTGGAAAATTAATATGACATTTAACAAAAGTCTAATAAAAAGTACTTTAAAAAGATTTTAATTTTTTTTTTCTAAAATTGAGGGTGGTAGAAAAATTATTTTATTATTTTTTTAAATGTAAATTTGATATAATTCAAAGAAATAAATTTTTTTGAAAAAAATAAATGCATAAAAATATTACCAAAAATAGAAATTAAAAAAGTATTTAAAATCAGAATTTGTAATTTAAATGTTTGCCAAAATTATTTTAAAAATTGGAGATTTTTAAAAGAATTGGACACAATTGGCTTTAAACCCAAAAATTTTGATATTTGTGCCAAAAAATTTATCGTTTTTATGAAACTTTAAAAAACTGAACCCTGAAAATTGATGAAAATAAGTAACCTTTTTACAAAATTCCCCCAAATAAAATAGGTATTTGACTAAAACACATCGAAAACCGGGGTTTTTGAATCTGGATAAATAAAAATAATGGATTAATAACCGGGTTGTGTTCACCTTAAGTTCTAATTTAAGAAATTTTGGCAAAATCATAATTATAAGTTAATGGAAAAAAATGAATTAAAAGAAATTTTGAGACTTAAATTAAATATATAAATGTAATTTTGAAATAATTAAAATTTAAAAAAAAAGAAAGGAAATAAAATTAGGTAAGTATGTATATACTAAAAATAATTTTAAAATAATTAAATTTAATTGTAAGGTGTAGTAATTGAAATAATGTATCAAAAATTGTTTTAATGTTCCCATGGCAAAAATATTTAATTTAAATTTAAAGCTAGTTAAATTAAAAATTAAATAAAAAGTTGCTTTTAAAGAAAATTTTGGATTTTAAATAATTGAGGAATTAATTAATGAATATTTAATAAAAAATAACATGAAAAAAATAAAATAAACTAATAAAAATTTAAATAAATTTAAATAAAAATTTGCTAAAAATAAATTAATAAATATAAAAATAAAATTTTAGTATTTAGAAAAAATTTTTTTGCAGAAGACTTAAATAAAATAAAATCAAAACAGTTAAGTAAATAATTAGATATTAATTTAATTTAAAAGTTAGAGAGAAATAAATTAAAAGCTAAAATTGGAAAAATAAAATGATTGTTTAGATAAAAATATAAAAAAGTATGCGGATGCACTTTAAAAAAGAAAAGATTTTTTTTAAATATTCATTAAGTTTATGTTTTAAAAATTTATTGCCAAATAAATTTTAATTTAAAAATAAAAATTATTTTTTTGAAATTCTAATAAATAAATATATCTAGTTAATTTATAAATTAAAAATTAGGTATGTATGTTTAATAAAAAATATATTTTAAATAAAATTTATTTAACATTTTCTTCAAAAATGTTAAAAAATAATTATAAATTAATATAAAAAATTCATAATTTTATTTTAAAATAAATAGCTAATTAATTAACAAAAAATTATTTTTAAAGTAATTAATTAAAAAATAAAAAATGTTTCTCATTTTTTTCTAATTTAACATTTAAAAAAGTTTTTTTAAAGAATAATTAATTATAAAGGTAAAACATGCAATTTATATGTTGAGGTAAATTATTAAATAATTATATTAAAATGTCAACAAAAACAGAAAAATATTGAAAATAAAAGTTTAAAAAAGAAAGAAATCTAAAAATAAATACTAAAAATAATTATTAAAAATTTAAACCAAAAATTAAATAAAAAAATATTTTTCTAAGAAAAAACTTTAAAAAATATAAAATAAAACAATGAAAACAGAAAAGCCAAATAATCTAAACTAAAATATATATTATTTTAAGAATTTTATAAAGAAAATAATTTTAGTAAAAATATTATTATTATTATTAAATACCAGAAGAGAATTATATAAAAAATAATAAAAGAAATGTTATCCTATGCTTACATAAAGCATAGGATCTTGCGACAAAAAAGATAATGGGAAATGAGGAGAAAAAAACGCCAGCGTTTTGACGCTTTATTTTGTGCTTACATAACTTGCGTCTTTAACTAGAAAATAAATATAATCAGCAACAAAGTTTGGATAATGTAAAATTAGAAGATAAATTGGAATTTTCAATTTTAAGTTAATGTCTTTTTAGCTATTTTAAATATCACCTCTAAATAAAATATTATGAAAATTTTTGTAAAATATCCAAACATTTTATATTAAAATTATTTTAGTTGACAATTTTAATTTATTTTTGTTAATTTAATCAAAAAATAATTTCTTTTTTTAATCAAAAAAGTGTCTGAAACAGGAATTCTTAAATTTAATTTAAAATAATTTTTGCACCAAAAAATGTATTGAGCCAAAAAAGGTTGTAAAATAATTAAATATATAAATTAAATTAAAATTTTTTTGTTTATTTTTAATTAATATAAAAATAGATAAAAAGAAAACGTCATTTGCTAAAAAATATTTTTGGAAATTTTTTAAAATTATTTTTTGAATTTATTCTTTTAATATTTTTTAATTAAAAAATTAACGGAAATAATTAATTTTAAAGAAATATTTAAATATTAAATTAAATAAAAGTAACATTTTAAGATAAAAAACGTTAAGTTAAAAAGGAAAAAAAATTGAAATAAATCCCACTCTTAATTAAAAAAGGAAGTGTAGAAAAAGGGGATAAAATGAAGAAAAAAATATAAAAAATGTAAAGCCTAAAAAAGGAAACAAAAAGTAAAAAAAGAAAAGAAAGGCCAAAGATTAGTTTAAAACGTAGAAGATTTGGTTATTATTTATTTATGTATATTTTTGGGAATTCTTCCAATTTGTGAAAACCAAAAAAAGGAATGGAAGGAAAAAGTTAAAAAAATATTTTTCAAAAAATTTTTACAAATTAGAAAAGTAAAGGATTTAAAAAAAGCAAAGGCATAAAAAGGAGATATGCATGTATACCATATATCCTTTAATAACTACCCTGGGTAATTATTGTTTCGACCTTCCGTTGGAGGGAGTAATTAATTGAGGGAGGGCAATTATATGAGGTTTGAAATTTAAACGTGTTTTAGGGCATTTGTTTGGGGGGAATTATTGTTTCGATCTATCGCTAGAGGGGAAAAATTTTTTAAAAAATTAATGATAAAAAAATAATTTAAAAAATAACATAATTTTAACATTTTCCAAGAATTTTTTTTGAAGGAATTAGAGGATGAATAAAATAAATATATTTATTTTTCAAAGATGAGTAAAAAACATCTTTTTTTCTTAAAAAAGATGTGAATAATAATGGCAACAATGACAAGAAAAAATAAGAATTAGATGACGGATGTTGAAAAGAGGAGGGAGAGAATAAATGTGGAGGAAAGAGGGGGGTCTGGAATACCAAAATTGGCTTAGAAAAAAACAAAGAAAAGGTTGAGATGAATTAAAAAGACCAAAAAAGAGGAAGGAAAAAATTTTTTAATAAAAAGCTTTGCAAGGCGGCGGAAACGGAAATATATAAGGAGAAATTGGAGAAGAATTTTTAAGCCTAATTTCAATTTTCTCTCATACCCACATGTCTAAATTTAAATATTTTTTAAAAATAGATTCCGTTATTTGTTAAAAAAGAAGATAACTTTAAATATGTAAATATCTTTCCAGAGAAATAAAAAAAGGAAATAAATATATGTAGAGGTATTTTTGGCTTTGGCCAAAAACCAAAAAAAGAAGAGAAAAAGAACCTTCAAACACAAAATTTAAAGTAAAAATCCTATAATTAAATCTAAAAAAGGAAAAAGAAACGTAATAACGTGAAAGTGAAAGAGATATATATGAAAGAGATATATATATATATATATTTATTTATGCTAAATTTAGAAAATAATAGATAGTTTCTTTGTTTCATTTATTTTACTTTGTTGATAAAATATCAAATAAATTAAAAAATAATTGAAAGTTTAATAAAAATTAGTCATCGAAGAGTCTTTAAATTAGTTTAAAAATTTCTAGTAAATTAAGGATTATAAAGAAATTCAATAAAAAGTATAAAGAGTATTGAAGAAAGTTTAGATGTTCTTCCCATTTTCGATGGGAAATTCAAAAATAAGTCCATAAAATGAAGTAAAAAAGAAAGATTTGATTAATCTGTTAATTTATCTAGTTAGGATAATAAAAGAGACAAACTTTTGATATAAAAATAAATACATATTTAGTCTAGTCAAAAATAGAAATTCCAAAAATATATTTAATTTAATTTAAATACAAAAATTAATTTAAAATATCCATTTTTATTTTAAATTATTTAAATACAAAAATAGAAATTAACATTTAGCTATTTTTTAAAATACATATTTATTTTAGAATATTTAAATAAAGATATCTTAAAAGGAAATTTTTTGAAATGTTTCTTTTAAGGAAAGAAAAAGTTTTGTAAATACAAATTAGTAGAGGTTTTGAATAAAAATAGAAGTTAATAATTAAAATATTCTTTTTTTAGAATTAATAATTAAATATATTTTTTGGAAATAAAATTTATATAATAAATTATTAAATTAAACCACTAAAACTATAAAAATAGAGCTACGGTAAAAATGGGAGAGGCCATAAAAATTTAATTTTAAGAAAATGTCACCAACCGTTTTAAGCAAAACACTGTTACAAAGCTGCTCATTTGCAGGAGTTAAAGGTTGTTGAACTGAAAAAGGACCCAAACTGCAAGGAGAATCCACCATTTTCTCGATAACAGATACACAACTACTATTTTCCCCATACATTGTTGTATTCCTTCTATGGAGTGTTTTTCCAGCAAGTTCTTCTTTTGGTCGTCGTCGTCGAATTCGGCGGACATTTTGTGATTGTTGTTCATTTTTTGTTGCTGAAAATACTGAAAATTTAGTAAAATAAAAAATAAATTTTTGTGGAATAATTGAAAATGTAAAAAAATTTCGAATAAATACCGAAAATTAAGTCGAAATTTAATTTTAAATGAGTCAGAAAAATATATTTCAAATAGAAATTAAATTCATAAAAATAATGACCAGTATCAATTGAATTTATTTGTGCCTCATCTTGCTGTTGATTTTGACTGCCAACTGAAGATGAGGAAGAAGCAACACAATTAGAAGTATCCATTCCAATAGGATTAAATACTGAGGTATTTGTAGAGCATTCTCCATTATTAGTTGCTTGTAATACATTTGTAGCAGCTGCAGCAATAGCCGACAATTGTTCGAGGGTAGGGGCACCAACAAAGGAAGTGGAGGCATCTGTAGAAGGATTTGTTAATGTCTGTTCAACAGCTGTGGAGAGAGGAGGGAGTGGGGCTTAAAAATAATTTATTCAAAAATTAACATTTAAATTTTGAGATTTTAAAAATCCGTTCTAAGGATTTACTAATAAAAATTATTTTTTTGTATACCTTGTCCTTCCTGAATTTGCTGTTGGGCCTGTTTCTCTTGAAAAAGAATAGACGCAGGCGAATTTAAATGAACTGCTTGTTGTTGTTGCTGCTGTTGATGTTTTGCTAAGGCCATAGCAGCGGCCGTCAATTGTTGCTGCTGAGAAGGAGGAAAAGGAAGTGGAGGAATTAATGGTTGTTGACTGGCAGCAAAAGTATCCATTATTTGGGCCATCTGAGCAGCATTGCTATATGCCGCAGCCTGATCTTGGAAACGTTTGGCTAGCTCAGAAAAGTTTGTTGGTGCAGGTTGTTGTGGCTGCATTTGATGGATCTTTAAATGTTAATTATTATCACATTTTCCCGATTAACCATCCCCTAAATACACTTAATTGCCATCAAGTTAAGAACACTCCTTATACCCTTTTTGTAATGATAATCTATCAAGCGATTAATAATTGAAAAATAATAACCAGGGTACTTAATAAAGGTTAATTAGTCTAGGCAAGATTCTGAACAATTTCTAATTATTCGCTTATAACTTTTTTGTTTATTTACCGAAATTTTTTAGCAAGATTTATACTAGGATAAGAATAAATTATAAAAATCACCTGAGGTATATCAGTTGATCCGTTTGGACAAGTAAGCCCTAAAGAGCTATTTCTCAACAAAGACAAATGATCCAAGTGGGCAAGCGCCACCGCTGCAGGAGAGCCTGGTCCAAAAGGCACGGCAGAAGAAGAGGAAGAATTGGCAGGGGAATTAGCAACAGCAAAAGCCGCAACAGCAGCAGCGGCAGAAATAGCAGAATTTGATGGTTGTGGTTGTTGAGCAGCAGCTACAGCAGCAACTTGTTGTTGTAGACAACGAGCAAATGCTGAGCCGCCAGGTGAAGGAATGGAAGAAGAATATAAAGCAGCAAGTTGAGCTTGAACAGCAGCAGCTGGAGAGAAGGGATTACATAACTGTGCTGCAGTAGAAGAACTATTTGTTGTTGCCATAGATAAAAGTTCTGGAGGGGAATTTGAAGCAGAAGTTGAATTAGTAGCAACATTTAATGCCGCAGCCAAAAGCGCAGCTGCTGAAGAGCCGTTCCCGCCATTATTAGCGGAGGACGGCGAACCTAATTGTTGAAAATCGGTGTTGATCATACAAAGAGACTGATGAAAATAATTTTCTGAAGGGGAAAAAGGAAAGAATGAAGAAGGTGGCGGTGTTGGCTGTGGAGACGACAGCGGGGCAGATTTTTGTTTGTAAAGGAGTTTGCTTGCCTGTGTAAATAAAAATGAAGAATATAAATAATTTTTAAAGGTTCTTGGATATATTCTGAAATTTTGAGATTTTAAGTAAAAGATTTAAGAGAGCGAAAATCGAATTTTAAAAATATTAAATTCTCCTTATTTTGAATTTTAAACATATTTTTAAGGAAAATTTTTTAGAATTTAGAAAATAATTTTTTTCTCGATCACTATTATCTATTTATTTATATTAATCACAATTTACTATATATTAAATAATTTAAATAAGAATTTTTAGTTTAAAGTAGGGAATAGAAAAAAAGAATTTTTAAAATAAAAATGAATTTCAAAATTCTGTGTACTATCAACTAACTACTTTGCTTGTTTAAACTTTCCATTAAAATTCAGAAAAAAAGGAAAAGTACAATGTGTGTATATGAAAATAATTATTTTATCTGATATAAAAAATTACTGTTCCCAATCTATATTTATATTTTTTGTAAAAAATATAAAATAAAATTAATTTTATATATTGATGGTCCCATTTAGGGGTACAAAAAAGACTTTAGACAATTACTTATGTATGTAGGAAAAAAATTATTATATTTTATTTTATCAAATATTAAAATTGTGTACTTTAAAGTATAGGAATACATATTTAGTTATCATTTCAAACAAAAAATTAATTTTTCGCTCTCTTAAACCTTTAAACCATTTAGAATAAAAATATTTTAAATTAAAAATTAATACATATACCCAATTTTTTAAACATTTAATAGAATGGCCCTTCTTTAGGTGGCGGCCTATTCTATATTTCAGAATAAATATGGTATTTTAAATATCCCCCCTTTCTATTCATTGAGATCAGAAATTTGTTCGAAAAGACTCCCAAATTTTTTAAAAAATTTATATAAATATATATCAGGGATGGGATCTCCTCCGCTTCCGTCTTCCGGTTCTTTCGTCTTCCGCTTTTTTAAAATACGGCAGTCCCCATCCCTGATACATATTTGAATCAAAAAATATTCAAAAACCATTCTTCAATTATTATTTTACCTTTTCTAAAACCAATTTAATTTATTTTATCGTTGTTTATAAATTATTATTATTTAGTCTCTCATTAGTGCATATACAGCACATTTTTGTTCTTATTTATTTAAACAATTTTTGAGGTCGTTTTGCTGATAAAAATTGTTTTTTTTTAATTTTTTTGAAAGAAATAAATTAAAAAAATAAAAAGAGGTGAATATATTTAATTAATTGTGAGGAATAATTAAAAATTAATTAAATAGAGAGGAGAGAGGTTGTTGATGTTGTTAGAGTAGTTAGAGTTAAAAATATTTTTAAATTTGTTGTTTTATTTATTTGAATTTTGAGTAATTTTGCGTAAAGAAAATTGTAAGTAGAAATAACGCCAAATGCTCAAAAATCAAAGAAAAATCTGAAAAAAACTTTTTTAATTAATTTTAAAATTTTCAAAAAACGTTTAAAAATGTATAGGTATTTTAAAAGGTGGTATTAAATAGGGTTTGATATTACAGGGAGGGTGTTGAGTTTACGAGGAATGGGGAATGCGAATAATTCGAGCCGCGAGGACGCAGAACTTGGGCTCTAGAGGGAGAGAGAGAATGGGGACCCTGTATTAAATACAGACAGGAGAATAATTAAATAAAATCTATCTGAGAAATCAAAGTTTAATTTTCTAAAAATTATGCTTAAAAGAAATAAAAATAAGGAAATAAAACTTTATAAAATTGCCAACAAAAATGAACAAAACAAACAATTATTTTTCATTTAAAAAGAGAAAATACATATTATTTGCATATTAATATTTTTATTTTTTTATAAAAAAATTGCTTTATAATTTAAATAGAAAATTTGAAAAAACTTAGAGATAACCAAAAATTGTAGTTCTTTGTAGGGGAGCGGGGGGGGGGGTAAAAGAGAAGTTTTTGGATTACAAGTTAATTGTTAAAATGCGAGGGAGAAAAAAATAAAAATGAGCGGAACATGTGAAAATAAATAATTAAAGAAAAATAATTTTAGAAGCTTTATATAAATGTTCCGCGAATTGGAAATGAACGTTCTTATTTTTGATAGTTAAAAAAATTTCAATTCTTGCCTCTGGCGCAGAAAAAATAAAAGAGAGGGAATTAAAAAAATTAGAGAGATTTGAAAGAAGAGAAAGTTTTTCTATTTCTTTTTTAATTTTTTGTTGCGCGGCTGTCGCCATTTTTGGTCTTTTTTTGCTCTATTCAATGCTCGAATACAAAAAAGTGAATATAAGAAATAAAAAAATGAAAATGAAAAACTGCCTCGGGTGTGCGAACTTTTTTTATTTAAAGAAGGGAGAGAGGGAGAGGGAGAGGAGAGGGTAGAAGGGGGAAGGGAGGAAGGGAGGAGGGGGGGGGGGGGGGAAGGATTAGCTAACGCGCCAAAATCTAAAAAAAGAACCTTTAAAAACTTTCTATATCCTTTAGGCGAACGCTTTCCTCTCATTTTTTTCATTTCCTCCCTCCTCCCTTTTTAGGTGTTCTTCTAAATAATTTTTTTCAATTCAAATAAAGAAAAATACTAGTTCTCCCTTCTCTAAAGTAGTTGCTTTTTCCATTCATTACCACCCAAAATAATGAACATATCCGCTTTTGAAAACATGTCCCTCTATTTTTCTTTTATCTTTATTTCTCGTTTTTATTTGTCAAAATTCTTTTATAATATACCTATGTATGGGTGGTCAAAATATTTTTAAGAATGCCAAAAATGTGTTAATTTTAAAAAAAAAATATTGAAAGTTAAACTATTTAATAAATATTAATTTTATTCAAAAAACCCCCCTCAAAAATAAAAAAACCATAAAATTCTCTAAGATGACCACCAATATGTGTGGAAATAAAAAAGGAAATTTAAAAAGATAACCTAATAAATATAGCAAATATGAATATATGTATTTATTGGTAGTAAAAAAAGCTAAAAAAAAATATGAATATTTTTTATGAGCCTAATGAAAAATTGAATTAATAAAAAAAGCTTGCAAATAAAAAATAAAATAAAAAAATTGTGAAAGGCGGATATAAAAGAGGGAAATGAATAAAGAATATTTAAAGATATTAAATAATAAAAGGCAAAAAAATAAGTTGGTTGTTTCAAGTTTTTCGTGATAAAATAAAAGACAAGATAACGAAATCGAATCTGAAAAATTTTTTTGAGTAAAAATTTTTAAATTAAATTTAAAAAAAACTCAAAATTTTTTGGTAAAATAAGAGAAAATTTTTAATAAAAAATAAACAAATCGTTAATATTCAAATTATTTTTTAAATAAGCAAAAAATAATTTAAAGGTTTTATTCTCAATTTTTAGGGTTGTTTGTGTTTATTATTTGCGAGCCGGATGCTTTAAAGCTGTAAAAAATGAAAAATAAAATTTTGAGCGAATTTAGAGTTGTATATACACATATATGTACATACATATAAAATAGTAGACCGCAGACCTTGCGCAAAAAAAGAACATAAAAACTGTCCAGTCTATCCGGTTCTTTTTATGGACGATTATTTTTAAAGGAAAATAAATAAAAACGCGGCTGGTAGAAGATGAAAAGGCTGGAAAGGAAAAAGGTCGGATTACTTCCACCATCACTTTGCGGGAGAAAAAAAATGAACGGAAAGAGGGAACGGATAAAAAATTGAAAAAAAATTCGGTTGTATGGACTCCCGATTAGAATAAAAATGGACGAATAAAAAAACTGGATGGTCCGAAAAAAATTGTCAGATGAATTTTGTTAAATAAAAAAAAGGGAAAGGGAAAGAATGAACTAAAAATAAAATGACCGATGAACAAAACACTTAAAATAAAATTAGATCAGTAAAAGTGAACGAATGAACGAATGACAATTCTTTTTTTAAAGAAAAGAATTTTTATTTAGAAGTGGACAAACATCAAAAAACAAGAGAGAAAGGGATTGAATAATAAATTGAAAAAAAAGCTGAAGATTAAATATACGATAAAAATATTTTTTTTTTGGATTTAAATTATTTAATTTTTAAAATTTAGAAATGCTTTATTTATAAAAAAAACTTTTTTTTGTTTCTATTAATATAAATTAAGGCAGACACAAAAAAAATTAAATCTATATACATATTCTAATATGTGGCAAAATTATGAAAATTCGTAAAAAATGTTTTGTGGATTGTAGACTTGAAATTCCAAAAATTGATTTATAAAATAAATAAAGCCCTAATTTTGAAGATTTTCAGTCCTCAAAAATAAAAATTTAAAAACAAATATTGAAATGATATATGCCGTAAATACTCTAATAAAACCGCACTCTCAAGAAGCAAACTCTAATATAAGCACATCCTACAAAAGGATTGAAAAATGTGGTTCTATTAGGGCATTTACATTATGTAGTACCCACAAATATCCCCCCCCCCTCTTCACTTCCTTCCCCAAATCATCGAGAATAACAAACTCTTCCATTTATTTAATTTAATATTCTAAAATATGCAAATATTCAATAAGGAAATGAAAGAATATTTTTTAAAGTAAAAACTAATTTATAGGGCATTTTGAGAAAAGGAAAGAAAACTTTTTTTAAAACACAATTGAATAAAATAATGGGAATATGTGTGTGTGAGGAAATATATTTTAAGTAATATTTAACGAATAAAGTTAATCGAGTGACGATTATTTTATTAAATTTCTTGTTACAAATTAGTATAAAAATTGCCATAAATTTTAGTTTCCAAAAAAAGTAATTAAATAAAAATTAAAATTAGAGTTTATTGAGAGAATTTATACATTATTTTTTGTGAATTATAAAAATAGGGGGGTTTATATTGTAAAAAAAGGTATTTAATAAAATAACAAAGTAAGTTGGAAATATCTTAAAATAATTGTTTAACAATTAAAAAATAAATTGGTTTGATTTAGTCAATGTAATCAAGATTATACCTATTTTAAAATATATGTAATTTAAATATGTAATGGTGAAAAAATCTTTAATGACTGGTTAAAGTGCCCAATTTTTATTTAATTAATATGTAATAACAAAAAAAAGTTTTTAAGAGATATTATAATAATACATATACATATATTTAATAATTCAAAAAGAAAAGTAAAAATAAAATTTATTTATTATTTTTTATTAATTAAAACAATTAACAAATAACAAATAAAGGTATTTAAACAATAAAATCAAAAAAAAATTTTTTGTCTAATCCCAAATCTTAAAATAAATGACATAAACTATTCTATTATATTAAATATAGATATTTAATTAAATATTAAAAAAAAGATTTTATAAAAATTATTTTATTAAAAAAAATTCGCGCCTGGCGGTTGCCAATAGGAACAAGAATATATTTAAAAATCTAGAAATGTCATATAAAGATAAATTGAGGGAAATGAATAAAAAAATTAAAGATATAAATATTTTTAGTTTTTGCTCTCTAGTTGAATAAAAAATCTTTTTAAAGCTTTAAAAGGAATTAAATTTAAAAAATTAAAATAAGAAGTAATTATTAAAAATAAAGAGGAACATATATTTAATTGTTTAAACTGAAAAGAGTTTGATTTAATTTTTACAGAAAACCCTAAAATAGTTAAACCCCAAATATGAAAGAAATAAAGACATGTATACAGTAGATGCTCTAATAGAACCACACTATCTATTTGAAACAAATTCTCTAATTGAAGGACACCCTAAGAAGAGGATCGAAAAATAGGGGCACATGTGGTTCTATTAGAAAATTTACGACATATTAGGTTATTAAATTTTTGGGTAAAACAGTACAAATAAACGAGCAATAAGGTATTTTCAATTGTAAAGAATAAATAAACTTTTAAATATTTTAAATAGAATTCATATGTAACCCTGGGTAATTATTGTTTCAATCTCACGCTAGACGGGGTAATTATTTGAAAGAATGTGTTGGATTTAGGGTATATCTCAATCCTATTGAGACGAAATATATTTATTTCTTGATATTGAGTCCTAAAATGTTCCAATAATTAAATTTGATAGTAATTCTTTAAATATTTTTAAAGTTTGTGTGAAATAAATAGGGGGTAATTATTAGAGAGGGTAATTATTTACGAGAGTGTAATTATTTCAGCATTTACGGTGTTGCCCTAAATTGAGAAAAAAATCTTTTTTTGAACATTAATGTATTAATAAACACAATCTTAAATAAATAATTTCAATAAATTTAGAACCAACCATTCTACAATTTCTTTTTCTCTAAAAGTGTTCTACTACATACATATTACTTTTAATTCCTTTCTATTCACATGCAAAACGCGCGCATGGACCAAAAAAATAATATCTACAATTGTGGTTATTTTAATGCCAACGGTCCAATTAAGATAAATGAAAGAAAGGAATGAAAGCGTGGCAATGTTTTAATAAAGAATTTTTCCTTTTCGAGAATGGAAAGCGCAAAAAGCAAATTAAGCACAAATTCCTTTTGATATACAAAAAAGGAAGCAGCTAAAAATTGGTAGAAGAAAAGGCAAAATTTTTAGAAAAAGACACAAAAGGTATAAAATTGTAAAAGCGGAAGTTTGGAATAAATCTGAAGGAAAAAATAAAGGAGATTTATTAGGCTGATTTTATACTTTTCCTTAACAATCTTCTGATAAAAGCTAAAGTTCACTAGCTTATGTTTATAATAATAACGAAATTTTGAAGAATTATGTTTATGTGAAGAACTTAAACATTTAAACAATTGAAAAAGAAAATATTTTGGAAAAATGAAAAATTAGTAAGAACCAAGTTACAAACAAAACATGTGTAAGCGACGAAAAATCAAAGGAAAAAAGTTAAATTCAAAGTTGCGATAAAATAGTTAAAATATTAATTTCACCTTCTAGAGATTGGATAAAATAATCATAATTTAATTGTAAACAGAAAGCATTAAATATCCAAAATTAAATATCGTTTATCCTCACAAGTTTGGAGTTAGGCTTGTGCCTTTCCCTCCTGTGACTTTCCTTCCAAAAATTATTAGTTCCTGTTATTACTGATTTAGTTATATATTATTGCAATAGTTTAAAAAAACTTTTCTTTCAAAACTTTCTCTTTTACAATTATTTTGTTAATATTAAAAATATTTTTATATATTTAAATTTTCGATATTCCTTTCTAACAACCTTTTATAAAAACTATATATTTGTATAAACAACAAAACAATCAAAATTTTCAAATAAAACATAGTAATTCTCTAACATCACTAAAGAGAAAATTTTATTTTTTCTAAACAATTTAAACGTGGATAATTCGTTGATTTAAAATTTATATTTAAAAAAAGTTAAGGGATAATGAAAGAAGGAATTAATTTGGATAAAAGAATTAAATTTATATAAGAGGATATTTAATTAAATAAAAACAGATAAATAAAAAAATTATTGAAAATCTTAAGAGATTTATGACATTTATAATTGTTTAACGAGCAATTAAAGACTCAAAAAACTCCTAAATAAAGACAAACTTCCGTCGAAAATATGATTATCGTCTTTAAATAAATAAATACAAAATACATCTGCCGCGCACGCATTTTGCAACCTTTGCTCATTAAAGACATTCGAGATAAAAAAAATTTGCATGCAGAAAAATAAATAAATGGCAGAAAGTGTTATTTTAATGTGTAGAATGAAGAGATTTATTAAAATAATAAATTATCAAAAAAATAATATTTAAAAATAAAATGTTTAGGATAAACGGAAATTGTTAAAATAAATGATGCTGAGGGAGGGCAATTATATGAGGTTTGAAATTATAACGTGTTTTAGGGTATAAAAAAATATAAAATCATTAAATTTATTGGGGGTAATTAATATTTCAATCTATCGCTGGAGGGGGTAATACAAGTGGGGTAACTATTTAAGGGAGGGCAATTAATACAGGTTATATGGTAATCAAATTATTTTTTAAAGATGACAAATCCAAAACTTTTAAATTTTTTTTAAAAAGGATTAATAAATTAATATTTAATTTAAAAATTAAAAAAAAAACATAAATTAAGTATAATTCATTAAAACGATTAGACAAAAGATTAAAAAATATTTATTATAAAAAATGATGAAAATATAAAATCATTAAATCTTTTTTAAGAAAGGTTAAAAAAAGGATAAAAATTAAAAAAAAAAGAAAAGTTTCGTATTTCTTTTAAAAATTTCTTTTGGTTTTTATAAAATTCTTTTTTTAATATTAAAAAATAGAAGAATCCCCTCAAAAAAGAATTTTTTTAAAGGAATGCATGAAAAAAAAGAGAGAATTTGTTAACGAGCGTTAGATAAAGAAGAAAAAGGAGGGGGGGGGGGGAAGCATTTTAGCCTAAAGGCTTCGAGAGCAAAGATATGTTGAGGACAAAAACCAAAAAGAAAAAAAATGTAAAAATGGAAAGTCTAAAAGGGGAAAATGTATTTGTAAGTAAATGGAAATGTTGTTTTTTTTGTTGTGATAATAATGAAGGGAGAGGGAGAGACCAAAAATTGATATATTCTTTTTTGCAACAAAAACAACAAAAAAAAATAAAATTATTTAATAATTCTGACTGCAAAAAAAATAAAAAGAAAAAATATTAATTAAAAAAATAATTTTTTTTTAATTTCTTGGAAGATTTTAAGGAAATATTTTTAAAGATATGTAAATTAAGAAAGGTGAGGGGAGGATATTTAATTATGCAGAAGTTTCCTTCGTAATTAAAATTTATATCAAAGTTGAAAATATAAGAAATACTTTAATAATTTGTCAATAAATTGTTTATTTTCATATTGTTTAGAAAGAATTTTCCGAAAATATTCAATCCGGCACTCTTTAACAAGAAGTTTAAAAACCCACACCTACCCCTTTTTCTACATAATAAATGTATTGGACAATTAATTATTTAATTTTGTTTAAAATTAAAAGCAATTTTGTGTTGAAAATTTTTATTCTTTAACCTACAAACTAAAAAAATATTAAAATAAAGATTTTTAAAAATCTGTCACGAGTATTTAATTAATTTAGAGAAAGAATTGAGGAAATAAGAAAAAGATTATTTGGTAAATTCTTAAACAAAAAAAAAGAATTTTAAAAAAATCGAAAGATAACAGTTCATTTATTTTAACAAATTATATATATAAAAAATGTGTTGGCAATAAATAAATGTGTGTGTGTTGGAGTTTGGAAAAAATATTAGATTATTATCAGTTAGTTTAATTTGGATTTTAACATTTTTGTGATTTTTCAACAAAATTAAAGGGATTATTTAAATTTTGTATATTTTTAATTAAAAAAGAAACAAAGTTTTTATTTAAAAAATTTTTTTAAACAAAATTTTCTCTCAAAGAACAACACAATAAAAAAAATTATTATAAAAATACAACAAGAATGATAAAAAAGAAAGGGAGCGTTTTTTTTATCGAGAACCTTTATCGGCCCTCAAACATTTAAATTTTTGTTGTATATTGGAATAGTTAAGTGAAATGTTGGGTGGAAGGTGGTGGCGGTACATTTTGCTTTGCCATTGTCAGTGTTGTGTGTGAGTACCGCCAAAAAAAGACAAAAATGGCAAGAACAAAGTAGTGTAGTCGGACGAACTATCGATCGACTGGCAGAAAGGGTGCTGCTGCCAGCCTCATCCCGCCCCGGCTCCTCTACTCTTATATATTCTCTTGTTAGCGGGGAGAGCAGCAGTGTTCGTAGAGGACCAAAAAATGAGCGGATAGAGGGGAGCTTAGAAGGAACGAAGGGGGAAAAGTTAGGGGGAAAGAAAATTGGCAGTTGAAGGGATGTTTCCACCCATATATTCGCAGTTAATAATTATTTAATTTAAATCAGTTATGTTGAGAATAAAGAAAGCTGGTAAGGAATTTTTAGAGATACGGTAAAGTCTGATATTACTATACCGAAATTGTGTGAATAGAATATTCTCTAGAGGAGCACTCTAATTTTACTTTCGCGAATATATGGGTTCTACCAACTGTCACGAACGCACGTTAGTAACTGATGAGAAAGTAAGGGAAGAGAGTTGCGATTCAGAGAATAGTACATACAATTCTTTCTTTTAAAAGGGAAACAGGGAATAGGGTGGAAATGTTTCACCAACACACATTCACTCTATTTTATTGAACCCTTTTGCTCCTTCATTTCGTTTTTTTCTATAAAGTAAAATATAGAGGATTGATGGAATAAAAAATATTGCCAGCTTGAGAATTCGAGGAATATAAAGTCGAGGAACATTCAAAGAAAGAAAAATGTTTGGGGAATAGACACTGACAGTTTTACACTATATTTAGTTAAAAAATATTTTTGAAAAAAATATCTGTACATCCTACAAAAAGAAATATATTTAGAATATATTCTACAGTTTGGAAATAGTAATATACAGAATTCACATTAAGCTCAAATTTTAAATATTCTTTGTCCTACCCAAAACTCAATATATACTAGTAACATCCGAGTTAAAACATTACTTTTAATCAGAAAAGAGGACAAATTCGGGCACCTGTTCGTTGCTGCCAGCCGTTATTCTTCTCTATAGTTAGGTGAAGGGCCACATGACAAACGTAAAAAGTAACGGAAGGAGTATAGAAGAAAAAGAAAAATGAGAAAAAGAGAGGGGAAGAATGGGGAGATTTTTTGTTTTATTTTAGTATACATAAACTCTCTAGTATTTAATTCTAAAAGAGCGGAAAGTGCTTAGGCGAAAGAACATTTTTACTTTCCTCCCTTTTTTATTCTCTTATTTGATGTTCCCACACTTAAGTGTACTAAAATATAAAGCTAAAAGAGGAACAAAAGTTGGGGACAAAAAAATGTGTACATTTTTTTTTATAAATTTACTTTTAGATTTTAAATAAAAAAGGGAAAGAAAAGATACTAAATTAACTGACAAAATATTTAAAAATTTATTATTTTAAAATGTATAAACTCGGATAAATTTAATTTTTGTGGATTTAAATCTCAAAAAGGAACAAAAGTTAAGGATGAAAAGATTTATGTTTAAAATTATCAAAATATACTCTAAAATAGGGTAAAACCCCGGGCCTTCGGGGGCGGGAGTGTCGGATTTCGGGGGTTGCCGGAGTAAAGCCTTCGGAGTTCGAGTCGGAATTTTTACCAAGAAAATAGGTGGGGGTCGGGGTTTCGGAGGTCGGAGTGCTACCCTACTTTAAAACATGAAAATTACATACTTTAACCAATATCATAAATTTAAATATTATTAATTTGGCTGCGATATTCTTAGAATAGTTTTTAAAAATAATTTTAAATTTTTATAAATAATTTGTTTAAAAATTATTTTAAAGGTAAATTATTTATTTTATATTTTTTTTAAAAAAGATCAACGAGTAAATTAAAAGGTAAAAATAACGATCATTATAATATTAAACCGCAACTTTTCTAGCCCAACAAACAAAGTTTTTGCACATGACGGGAGACCAAAAATGAAAAAAAAGAAAGTAAGAAAGAGTGCGCAAATTCCTTTTCTTTTAATTAAATATTGAATTTAATTGTATGAAAAAAAGGAACAAAAAAGAAAAATCTAAATCGGGACATTTTTGTCTTTAATCTTTTTAGCCTTTTTTAAAAAATAAAAATTAGAATATAAAAGACCTGAGAAAATTTTGTAAATTAAATTTAGAATTTTAAATAAATTAATTAGGTATAAACAAAAAAGAATAAAGGTTATTGGTGAACGAGAATGTACAAAGAAATGATAAATAGAGGATTTAAAACAGGGCTCGGATCGGAAAATATTAAGTATAAGGACAAAAAGTTCAATTTGTAAGGACATTGGGGGAAAATTTTTTAAATATAAGTACCTAAACTACAAAAATACAAATTAAAAATTTATTATCGCTCAAGTCAACGCCATAGGCGAATCTTAAGGTTAAATTTTATTTTTTAACCAAAAAGTAAATTTCTAAGTACTATACTTCCAAAATAAATACGAATCCGAGCTCTTATTTAAAATGTTCTAATTATAAATTAATTCAATTAATTAATTTGTTAAATATTAAGGTTTGAAATTTATTTTGATAATACTTCTAATTTAATTTGACTCAGATAACGTAATTTAAAAAATTACGTAAAAATATTGTTGGAATATTTAAATAGAATAGTTCTGAAATAAAAAATAAATTGAAAGTTATTTTCTGTTAAATTGACTGGGATTCGATTAAGAATGCCGGTTTGATAAACGCGAATTTTAATAAAGATCAAGTCTCGGTTAAATCTCGAAATAATTTTGAATAATCGAATATATTAAATTAAATATATTAAATCCTGAAAAGAAATTAAAAGAAAAAATTAATTAATTTAATATGTAATTTAAAATTAAGTTATTTATGTTGGAAAGCTTGGAATGAAACGAAAGTAATCCAAAAATTTTATTTTTTATTTTTTTATTTTAATTTTTAGACATTATAAAAAGTATTCTGATTTATTTGGCATATTAAAGTTAATTTTCGACACTTATAAAGAAGAAGGTAAACCCATGCTTTTGTTTGAGCAAGGACCTAGAACTATTAGTGGTGTGTGCCTAATTTGTTTTTTTTAATATTGAAAAAGCATAAAGACTATTATTTTATATACACTCTGTCACAAAAGTATAAGCACCCCTAAAATTTTTGTGAAAACACATGATCCCTTCACATTATTTGTTTTATTTTTTTCCTACATTAGCAGGGATCCAAAACATAACTAAAAATAAAGTTTCAGAAAATTTTATCGATTTAAAAATTTTAAAATTGAATTTTCTCGAAAATCATGTGTCACAAAAGTATAAGCACCCCTGTAAAAATTTTATTTCTACTTATTTTAAAATTCTACAAAAAATACAGTAAATATGTCTATCGATATTATGAAAAATAAAAAAAGAATTAGGCCCATATCTCATTCCAGTAAATAGAGGATTTAAAACAGAGCTCGAATCGGCAAAATGTTGAGAAAGTTTAATTTGTAAGGACATTGGGGGAAAATTTTTCTAAATATAAGAACGCTACAAAAATACAAATTAAAAATTTATTAACGCTCAAGTCAACGCTGTAGGCAAATTTCAAGGTTAAATTCAACTTTTTAACCAAAAAGTCAATTTGTAAGTAATCTACTCCCAAAATAAGTACTAATCCGACCCCCCCCCCCCCCGCCCTTATTTAAAATGTTTTAATTATAAATTTATTAAATTAATTAATTTATTAAATATTAAAGTTTGAAGGATTTAATCGTATTACTTTGAATAATTGAATATATTAAATTGAATATTAAATAGCAAAGGATTCTGAAAAAAATTAATTAATTTAATAATTTAATCTGAAGTTATTTATGTTGGAAGGCTCGGAATGAAAATGAAAGTAATCCAAAAAATTTTAAATCAAAATTTATTACCTCAATTATATATTAAAGATTTAATACAAAAATGATGTCATTTCTTTATTTATTTTTTTTTAAATTTCGATAAATTACAGTTATAAACACACGTATACACACAATATTTATTTTGTAAATAAAAAGTTTCAACGTTTAAAAAAATTTTTTTGCAAAAAATTTTAATGTGCCTAGAATCGTTATTTGTTAAATTCTGCAACGTTTATATAAACGAAGGTCGTTTGAACGTCTTTCGAGAAAGAAAAATTAAAATAAACAAATATTGAGAGAAGATGAAAGTTTTAAATAAAATAAAATTGACTGATCGAGAAAATAAAAAAAAAATATATTTATTGTTAAGAAACAACATTTTAGCCCAATGTTTATGTGAGACTGTTACTTTGAGGGACAAATATGTAGAAAAAAATATTGAGTGTTTGATTAAAAGAAAATCTAAAATAAAGAGAAATAAATTGAGTATTTTTGAAAGAATTTTTGGACAATTATTTACAAATTAATTAAAAAAGAAAATAATTTTATATTCAACAAAAGTATAAAATAATTGAAGGCAGGTTCGGTAAGGGGCCGATTCGTCTGTTATTTTTAAAACTGTTTTCATGTAGATGGGAATCTTTTAAATTTTTTAGCCTCAGTTCTTATATTTTTATATGCCAAATTTAAAATTGGTAATCCTTTATTGACTGATTGTATGCCATGAGAAATTGAGGGGGGGCAAAATGGGGGGGGGGCATTGAGGGGCAAATGACTTTACTTTTCAGAAAGCATTTTTAAAGAGCTATCTTTTGATGTAATAATTAAATATTTACAAAATAATTTATTAGTAACTAGTTATTTAATAAATGAAATGCAACACTAAAAAAGCACGTTATTCTGAAAGAATTAAAGAAAGAAGGGAGAGCAAAATAGATTTACAAAATTTATTTAGATATATTTTTCTACTGGAGATGACATAAATTTAAATATTTTTTGGCAAGAATTTAAAAATTATAACCTTAAATGTAAAAATATAACAAAAAGAAATATTTGAATATATTAGCCATAAATTGCTAAACAAAAAATTAATTATTTGTTAATTAGATCGGATTCCTCTAAGAGGGGTGTTTTTAATAATTATCTTCCTTCTCTTTTCAAAATTTTTTTTCAGAAATCCAAACTTTTTAAAACAAATACATCAAAAATCAAAAGAACATATCAACATCAACCTTCTTCACCTTCATGATAAACCCCTAAAAAAGCTGGTTGTATTCATTTATAATCGAATTAGAAAATAAAATAAAAATAAATATATGTACACATAATTGTGATACAAAAAAAGTATTTGAAAATATTTTAATTTTTAAACAAAAGTAAAATGTAAATAGTTTTGATTGTTAATTTGAATAAAGAAATAAAAATTTTTGAAAAAATTGTTTGCAATCTCAATAATAAAATTAAAAACTTTAAATTTTTGTTTTTTGTTCTTAATAGAAAAAGAAGGAAGTTATTGGAAGTAAAATTTGGAAGTTTTAAATAAATTAAAATTAAAGAAGGTATTAAAAGTTTTAATTAAAAGTTTAATTAATTAAACAAAAAAAAGAACAGTCAACTGGTCTTTGAACTTTTAAAATCTAAAAATAAACTAGAATGGAAACATTTTGGCCATTTTTGTGAATGTATTTATTTCCTTTCTTTTTTTACTTTCCTTTAGTTTTATATCTGCGTGTTTTATTTAAACCAGATGGTGTAAAAAATTTCTTTTTAAGGAATAAATTAACAAAAGGAAATTAAAGAAAATTTAGGTAGTATATGTATTTATTGATTATTAACTTGGAGTTTGTAGGTTTTTGTAGTTAGAATTGAAAAATTAGAATTGGAAAATCGTTGGTACTCCGATTTCGTTAACTTAAGCCCGAAAGTGACTCGTACTGGCCCGACTCGATAAAAACAAGACCGAAAAAATGCCTCGACAGTCGGCCCGACTCGAAAACGGTAACCCTAGTCCAGCCCTAGTCTATATATTAATAAGAAATTTTCAGTTAAAAATTCTTTCACTTATTTAATACCTATAGCGTTAGTCTCGATTCCATATACTCTAAAAATAAAAAAAATTGTCAAAGGTTAACAAAAGGATTGTGAGGACATATGTTCGTTCCCTTCAAATACAACGAAATAAAAAAAGATAAAAAAGGAACTAGTATTCTTGGAATTATTTAGTTAATTTTGTGCTATTGTGTGTCAGTTCTGAGGGGTGTGAAATGGAAATATAAAAGTAGTTGCCATTCTGGGAATAATACATACTAGGGGCTTTTTGGTGTGAAAAGAAGCCTGCAAGGGAATAAAAGAAATAAATGAATATTAGAAGAAAAGGAGGAAAAATATTCCGTAGAGTCCAATTGAGGAAAGTAAAAAATAATGGAAATTTGAATAAAAAATAGTTTAATATTTTTTGTTAAAATTAGAACAATTCAGTTATTTATATAATTTAAATAATTAAAAATATTATTTTAAAAGGATAATTTGCGCCTATTTATATGTATACATATTATGTATACATATAGGCGCAAGCCCTTAAACTTTTATCTAATAAATATTTGAAATGTTGGAATTGTTCTTGGTTTAAAAAAATTAAAATTTCCAAAATTTCCAATAAATTTCTAAAAATTCGGAAACTAAAACAGAATTAATTTTTATTATTTTAAAAATGACAAAAAGAGTTGAATAATTAAAATAAAAAATAAAATAAAAATTTTTTATTGCACTTTTAAAATTCAAAAAAAAATTTCAAAGCAAATAAAAATAATAAAAGTGTAAAATTTTAGTGTGGTTTTTAATCAACTAAAGGGTAAATTAAGAATTGATTATGCATTCACTTTTATAAAAATATTTTCATTTTGATTTGCTGGTTTAAATTAAAATTCTATAAAAGATTTTTTTAAAATAATCGAAAGAATTTCTTAAACTTTTAAATCTATTAAAACAAAATTTTTCAATTGAAAAAGGAAATATACAAGGAAATCAAATCGGAAAAAAGTAAAATGACATGCTATCGGTCATTCTATTAACTTGCTTATCCAAAAAATGGAAGAAGATGGAATTATACAAATTAATCCTGAAAGCTTTCCTAAATCAAGGTTTACTAGCTAATTTATCTTAACATCGAAGATAATGAAACGAGGTTGCCTATGATTATTATTTTCAGCTATTTTGCTGAAAACTCTGCCGACTCTGTATACAGAAAACCTAAAATAGAATCCTCAGACAAGTATCCGTTTCTCTCTGGATGAAAAGGAGTCCTAGATTCTATGATAAAGCCTAATTGTATGTACTATAACATGATAAATTTTTATTCGAATGAGATTATTTTTACAAACATTCCGTCTTTAAATTCGTTAATTCTAAATCATAAATTAATTTGTCATAAAAAATCGTGAATCTCGGCGATATTTCGAAATTTCTTCTTCGATATATTTCGAGATTATCGATATCGACTCTTGAAATCATTTACCGAACAATAAGGAATATGATGTATATAAATGAAAAGATTTATTTTTTTTATAAATTTTTTAGAGTATTTATTGAATAAAAGAACTAAATTTGACCGACTAAAATAGGAAATGGATGGGTTGATTTTATTTCATAAAAAGACGAACGCCGCTAAAATCTTGCGCACAAAAATGAGTTTTTTGGTCATTGTTGCGCTGTTCATTTAATTTTTTTATTTAGATTTCTAATCGTGACCTACTACTTTTAAATATTTTCTAAAAAAAGTGTTCATGCCCTATTTTTTTTGTTTTTAATTGGTAGTTAAATAGAAGAGGGAGGGAAGGGAGGGGGAGAGAGGAGGGGGAGATTGAATACTTCCGATTAAATAATTTTTTGTAAAAAAAATTTGAAGTTCATTTGGACTAATCCTTTAAATATTCTCTCTATTATTTTTACGTACAAATTTGTGGATGATACGAATAACGATGACAAGTCCTTCTAAAAAAGATGGATCAGAACAAAAGCATTTTTCATAAAATTTAGTTAACATTATTCAATAATCTCACCGATATTGTTATCAATTGATTCCGATATATTGCCATTTTTGTATAAATTAATTAAAATATTAATTCAATTGGAATTAATTATTTTTATAAATAAATTTTTCTTAAACCGGTTATTTGCACAAAATATGTATGTATTCCCCTTTTCTCTTCTAAAAAATTACATGAGTATGCACATTTATTATTAAATTATAACTGCTGATTATTAATCAATTTTTTGTTTATTTGTTTATTTCATCATTTATTTATTTGTTTAAAAATTAACTAAATTAAATTTCTCTACTTTATTTTTATATTTTTAATTTAAAGTATTTAATATATATAATTTTATTTCTCTTTATTAAATTAGTAAATGAGTTCAACTACTCCAGTTTTGTATTCATATTGGAGAAGGTTAACAAACAGAATTTTCTCAATTTTAAAATTTTCTTTTTTCTTTAGTTCGTGTTCTTGGCGTGTTCGAATTGCTTTAAATTTAAAAGGAATTAAATACGAACAAAAAACAATTAATTTATTAAAAGGAGAACAGATAAAGGATGAAGAGCATTTACCTTTTGCTTTAGTTCCTGCCTTTAATTATAATAATTTTTTGTTAAGTGAAAGTCTGGCAATTATTGAATTTTTGGAAGGTTAAAATAAATAAATATTAAAAATTAATTATTTATTTTTTTTAAGAAAAATTCCCAAATTCTCCTTCCCTTTTGCCTGGAACTGTTGAAGATAAAGCTCGGATTCGAGCGCTTTCTCTTCAAATTGTGGCAAATACTCAACCTTTACAAAATCTATTTGTTCTCGAATATTTGTCAGAAGATGCTAATAAAAGAAAGGAATGGGCAAAGCATTGGATAGAAAAATCATTTAAAAATCTCGATAGAGAACTTGCAAAATATTCGGGAGGAAAATATTCTTATGGGGATTTACCTACAATTTTGGATTGCTGTATTCCCCCACAAGTATTTAATGCTAAAAGGTAATTTTAAAGTCCTCTCCCTCTAAAAAATATTTTTAAAAAAAGATTTGGTGTAAATATGGAAGAATTTCCTACAATTGATAAAATTGATAAGTTTCTGGCTACATTACCCGAATTTAAATTGGCACATGCAAATAATCAACCAGACACGCCAGAAGGAGAAAAGAAAATTTAAATAAGGAAATTATAAGTAAAAGAAATATTTTAAATTTATTTTAAAAGGGGTTGTTTAAGGAAAGATCATTCTTGATCTATTTTATATTTGAAAATAATCAAGTATTTACATATATTTTAAATTTTAAACATTTTACTTATTTTTTATTTAACAAGTACATATAAAAAATAATTAAAAAATTCAAAGCTCATCACTTGCTGCTTTTTTAAATAATTTAGCTAATTCTATATCAAAATGAAGTTCAGCTCCTCCGGGAATTTGATCGCGGCCTTTAGTTCCATAACCTTTTATTTAAATTAAATTGTAAAAAATTACTATCATTATAAAATGTTGACTAAACATTTAATCTGCCCTTTAGTCAATATTGACAATTTACAGATGTGTGAATTGATCTTGAAACCAAAACTTTTTTGGATTTTTTCGGTCTTGGTCTCGATTTTTTGAAGAATTTAGAAAAATCCTGTGTGCCCATAAAAAATTTGCTTCCTGTAAAAATCTAATCTTTAGGGTCAAATTGCCCTCGACTTGGGGATAGTCTTGGTCTTAGTTTGGCAATTTAGGAGAGGATATATTTATTTATTTTGAGAATTATTTACCTACCTAATTTTGAAGGTATAATAACTTTTCTACGTTCTCCTTCACACATTCCAGTCATTGCTCTATCCATTCCAGCAATAACCTCACCTTTACCAAGTTTAAATATAAAAGGTTCTCCTCGTGTATGTGAAGAATCTATAAATGTCCCATCTGCCAAATGAAGAGTATAATGTTGGTGAATTGTATCTCCATTAGCAGAACGACGACATTTTGACTCATCAATTTTGTGTGTTACCTTTTAATTAAAAATTAATATTTTAGAATTTTATTTAAATATACCTCAATATCCAATCCATCTTCTTCACGCCATTTTGGACCAGGAATTGGTCGGAATAAATTTTTTAACTGTACTACATAATGAAGTACTTGATCTTTAGTTATTCCATCCCTTAAATTTATTATTTTTTTATCAAAATTAATTTCCTTTTCATTATTACCTAGCCCTCCCTTCATTTCCAAATCCCAATTTTCCAGGAATTGTAACTTTTCTTTTCTCTCCAATACACATTCCAGTCATTGCTCTATCCATTCCAGCAATTACTTGTCCTTTTCCAAGAGTAAATGTATATCTAAAATATATGATTTAAAAATAAATTAGTTGCCCCTAAACTAAGTGACCCTTGGGTTTTAACTTTAAAATAATAACGAAAATTTTTTTGGTCACAGGGTTACTCCTTAAAACTTTTTTCTTCAATCCTTTAGCGTTCGTTACAGGGTGGCCCCTTCCAAAACACTAAAATAGGGCGCAACCACTCAAAAATAGGGCAAAAATAGGGTGAAATCGGCCAAAAATAGGGCAAAAATTAGGGCATAGATTTAAAAGCTTAAACATAATTAAAATTTCAAATAAGGCGAAAATTTTGAGAATTTCGGAAGCAGGAAGTCAAATTTTTTCCATTTTTAGCGCCACAGGCGAAAATTTGAGAATTTTAGAAGGCAAAGAAGCCAAATTTCTTCCATTTTTTGCGCCGCAGGCAAAAATTTTGAGGATTTTGGAAGGCCAGGAAGTCAGAAATCCTTAATTTTAAACATTTTTCTTACAAAATCCGAAGAATTTTTGAAATTTTACAAGATGGTAAAAATAGGGCAAAAATATGGCAAACTAGAAAATAGGGAAAAAATAGGGCGAAAAGGTCAAAAATAGGGAAAATCCTCTATAAATAGGGTAAAAGGGCCACCCTGGTTCGTTAGTATATCCAAAGTTAACTAATTATTTTTAAAAAATTAATTTAAACTCTTTCCTCTCCCCTCCTCTTTTTTAACTCATTTCATTTAATATCTCCGACCTACGGTTTCATATTGAAGTTTGATCCAATTTCTTTTCCATTAGCATCGGATAATTTATAATATTGTTCTAAAATATCTCCCGGTTCACTTTTAATTGTACATTTTTCTTTGGAAATTGGCCTAATTATTTTTATTTCAAGACCATCATCGTCCTTTAAATAAACAATTTTATAAAAATATTTTTTAATTTAAAAAATTATTTTATTATTTTTCATTCCGATTTTTTTCTACATTTCCATTATTTATTTTTTTTAATTAATTTTTTACTAAAAACATTTAATATTTAGACCTTCCATTGCAAATTTTGACCTTCAAATTGTACATTTGACTTTCCTTCTTTTTTCTCGTTTTTCTTTGAATTCTTTTCATCAGATTTAGAATTAACTAAAGAAAATATAAACAATACCAAAAATAAAGGAAATAAAAAATAAAAAGAATTATTTTGTTTCATTCCAAAAATTATTTTAAATTTTACTAAAAAATAATTTAAAAAATATTTTTATAGATCAAGAGCCAATCAAAGTAAAAAAAAATCTATTGGGGGAAAAGTCATGTCTTAATTATCAAAATAATTATTTTTCAATTCTTGTCTCATTATTTCTAAACTCTACAACTAAATCTACATACTTTAGATATTTTAAGAATTTAATATCTATTTAATATCTCCTCCTCCACACACCCGGATATATGTATATTTACTGCATAAAATGAAAAATAAAGAAAAATGTGTATTAATGAACGTAAGTAAAAGACCGCGGGGAAATTTTTCATCAAAAATTGTGAGCAGAACCACCAAACAAACAGGCGGTCAACATAGTGTGACTGCTAAAATTGGATAAAATAAAGAGGAGGAGGAGGATCTTTGCTCTTCTTAAAGATGAATTGGATGAGATGAAAAATAAAATAGATCGATTTATAAGAAAATATTTTTAGGAGAAATAAACCAAAAAAATTATTGCAATGATTAATTTGTAAAAATTGATAAAAATTTTATTAATTTTTAAAGTTTATGGGAAATACATATTATCAGATTTTACTTTATTATTCAATAAATGGCATTTTTTAAATATTCAGAAAATATATAGGTACTAGAGATCGAGATTTTTGAAAAGCCTGGACATGTTCCTGGACTCTGGAGTTGATGATGTAGTCCAGGAAGTCAAAAAATGCCTGGACCTGGACTCTGGGTACAGTAAAAACCCAGGTCTTGGTCCAAGTCCAGCTGATCTCTAATAGGTAGTTCGAGTTTAACCAATTCTCTCCCAACTTTTTAATTAAATATCTTCACTATCAAAATAATTATTTTCCAATTCTTGTCTAATTATTTCCGGTTTATTTATAAATGTTTTTGTTGTTGACACAACTTTTCGACGTTTCCAAAATTGTTTCATTCCCAACATTTGTTTTAAATTGGGGCGTTGTTGTTGATAATCCTTTTCTACTGCAGTCATTAATTGTTTTAATTCAGAAGAAGAACGCTTAAATGATTTTTAATTGTTATAAATATAAATTGATTTGGAAAGAATAAAAAAGTATTAGTGTAAGTTTTCTTCAAGTTAAAATTAATTTTCATTTTTCTTAATTATTTTTTCGCACATATCTGATCATGAAAATTAGTTAAACTTGGAAACATATAAAAATTTGTTAAGGAAGTTTGTCAACTTTAAAAGTTATGATTGAAGAGATAACTTTGGCGCCATGTTATGAATTAAGTATTAATTAAATTATTTATTGAAAATATGAAAATTATTTACAAATTTTTTTCAATTAATAAATAGATGGTTATTTTTATTTTTAAATATAAAACTCCTATTCTAGTAATTAGGGTTGCCGTTTTTGAGTCGGACCGGTATAAGTCATTTTCGGGCCAAATATCTTAGGCCTGACTCGATTTTTCGGTCCGAGTCGTGCCATTTTGGCAACCCTACTAGTAATAAAATAATTATTTTTCCAAACCAAAAAATTCCTTTCAGCAATTTCCAATTCTTTATTTATTAAATTAACATTTCTCTGAATTTCATTAAGTTTAGCCTCAATACTAGAAGATGAATGTTCCATAAAATAATAGCAATCATCATCTGCTTCTTCATCTTCTCTTTTATCCATTAATTCGTTTGATTTATTTTGTTGATTAGAAGAAGAAATATTAAATTCTTTTTTGGAATTTTTTTAAAATTCAAATTTAAAATTAAATTAATTACCTGCTGCACTATCATATGAACTTAAAGAATCCTTTCTTTTCCAACGTTGTTCATATTGTTGACAAATAAGTTTGGCTTCAAAATTAATTTTTTTTAATTTAGAAAAATTTAAATACCTTTTCTTCTAACCATTCTTCTACTATGTGGATATTCATCAAAGGCAACAGCCATAGCTTCTCTTTCAAGAACAAATAAAAGGGAATAACCAACAGATCGAACCTTTTTTAAATAATTTTTGGTTATTTAGGTATTCGAGTTTATTTCATTCTTATACAATCAACTCCCACTATAATGGACACTGAAGGACTAGGAAATACATACATAAAGTCAAAATACTATTTTAAAATAAATTTTAATATTTTAATTTAATATTTTGGGATTAAGTATATTAACCCTATAAATTTTTTTTAAACTTAGAAATTATTCTTTTATTATGTATGAATTATTACAATAAAATTATTACAGTGTATGGAATTTTGCATTCACTGACAAGTGCCCAATCACCAAAAATATCCCCTTCTTGTAAAATTCTTGAAATAAAAGAAAAAAATTATAATATTTTTTAATACTTATATAAAAAACCCCAACTTGTCCCTATTTTTGTGGGTAAAATCCCTTTCAAAAAATCAGGCTCCTCAGCGTTAGCTCAAGGAATTTTTTGAGTTGTACATTAGTCCTACAACTTTTAACGGGCTATTCAGAAAAACTCTAACCTCGGCGCCAAAACGTACCTCCGCGCCGAAACGGCCAAGTTAAAACTTCAAACGGCTGTAACTCGGAGAGGTGAAGTCGGACCAAAAAGTGATTGGGGTGAGGGCCCTAAGTTGGGATAGGGTCTATAACGCTGAAAAAAATTTGGAGGCCTGGGATCAAATGTCGAGGCTGTAGAGGTTGGCAAAAATTGGACACTTTGTCCCGGTTTGACATATGTGTCCGACAAAATTCACCGACAATTTACAAATTATACACCAATCGAAAGCTCTCCTCGACCTGAGTCTGAAAAAATTTAGTTTAATTTTTTCTGACCATTTTGTACAAAGTTACAAAGTGTCAAAGGTTCAAAATGTCCAGAACCCCTATCGGGAAGGGTGGCTCCCATTGGATGTAATTATAAAATTGCTTAGGAGAGGCCGAATCGCTCCAACTCTTTTTTAGTATGTTAGGGCACTAAGTTGGCTAAAATTTTGTTGGGGGCCACTTGAGTCTCGGATTTGGTTTTGGGGGTGATAAGGTTCAAAAGGTCCGGGTCGAAAAGTCGACTTTTTAACGCGTGAATTGAAACTCGATTTGAGTTTCCTATCTTGTAGAGCGTCCCTTGAAACCTCTAAAAATATATACTTTGTTGGGGGTACACTTGAGTCTGGGAAAGTTATAGTCCAAAAATTGAGTTTTTGGGGGTCAAAAATTGACCTTTTTTGGGCTATAACTTTTTTAAAAATTTTTTTAAAAATAATCTGACTTCGGATTCGTGTTCAGCACCTATTGGAGCACCATAAAACATATTTTTCTCGATATCGATTTTTTGACTTATTTTTGAAGGGGTACCCCTTTTGAAATTTTTTGGTGAAATTTAAATCGACTGTAACTTTGTTGATTTTTGTCGTAGCCAAACGAATTAAAGTTTATAAAATAGAGAAAAAAATTACAAATTTTTTGAGCCATTTAAATTTTTGAAAAATTCCACCAGAGGCTGGTAGGGTCGATTTTTTGAAAATTCAAAAAATTTCGATTTTTTGAAATTTTTTGGGGCAAATCGAGGTGGAGGATATTTTAACATATTTTTATTAAATACTAAATAAAATTTGCTATATATTAGCTTTTAAAATATTTCAAAATCGTTTATTTTTGGGGAGTTATAAATTTTTAAATATTTTGGTAATTTTTGAGTTTCAAACCTAGAGCAAAAAAATTGACGTGTCAAAATTTTCTGCTTTTTTTTAAAAAACAGTCTATATGGTGCTTTTCCATACGCAGAGTCCGAATCCGGTCTTAGAAAAATTAAAAAAATATTTCCCGAATACTTAGAGTCTCATAAAATTTTGCGACACTTGCGAACAGTGGCCATAACTTTTCGAGACTCAAGTGGACCCCCAACAAAGTATACCTTTTTCGGAGCCCAAGGGGACGCTCTTTCAATTAAGGTATCAAAAAAATTGAATAGACCTTTAATAAAAAGTCGACATTTCGGCCCCGACTCATTGACCCGTATCGCCCCCTAAAGTTGATCCCAGACTCAGATGACCAACTGTTGATATGTTGCCAACTTCCAACCCTCCAACATCACTCCGAGGCCCAAGAACCCTCCACTTCTCAAAAACCCGTTATAAGACTTTGAATTTTTCATCAGGCCGTTTTGGTGCCACACTCGAGTGCGGCACCAAAATGGTAATGCCCATTAAATTCCCCGTGGCCGATAACCTATTACCCCACCTTTTTTACTTCAATTAGGTTTCAACCAACTCTAGAATAAACCGTGGGCATTTTGTCCGACTGACCATTTTGTCCATAGGCATTTTTCGCCTTTTTTAATTTTTTTAAATTTTTAAATTTTTAGTTTTTTGGCGTTTTTTGGGGTTTTTTTGGAAAATTTCACGGGTCTTTTTAATTTTTTTATTTTTTTTTATTGTTTAGGGGTCCTGATCACACCCCAAACCTTTTTTTCCTGAAAATTTCGAAAAAAAATCTTGAAAATTGCAAAAATGCACTTTTTGCATTTTTTTGAGATTTTTCGAGTATTTCAAGATTTTTTTTGGGTTTTCGAGATTTTAGTGGGGTTCAGTTGTTTATAAATTATTTTTTGGGACCTGTAGATTATACTATTGTTAAGTTTACCCAAAAGATTGGAGAAATTTCGGGTTTTTTGAAATTTTCAAAATTCGTGTTTGAGGTGTGATCAGGGCCATTTTGGGGTACTTATTAACTTTCCCCTCAGTCAATTTTTTTCGGTAAATATGAATAATGGCAGTCTGCCTTATGTTATAGAACTCATCGAGCTGCATCGAATGACACCAAAATCCAAAAAATCCGAAGCGGTTTGACCGAGATACAGACCCCTAAATACTTTGACCCCTCAGGGGTGGGTTTGTGGAATTAAAAAAGTTTGTGCAAATGATAGCTCATTCGAAAGAGCTTGTCGAGCTGAGTTGAAAGACACGAAAAGCTACGTGATTGACAAAGTTTGATAAACTTATGACATTATGTAGACCTTCCGGGGGTGGCGACTTTGTGTCATAACTTTATTAAATCTTGTCCAACCACGTAGAATTTGGTGTCATTCGACTCGACTCGATAAGCTTTTTCGAATGAGCTATCAATTGCTAAATTTTCGTCCATGTGGTTTTTCGCCTCTATGGTTGCTCGATTTTCAGGGTTCTGTATCTCGGTCAAACCAAGTCTGATTTTTTTTGGTTTTAGTGTCATTAGACACATCTCGACGATTTTTTCAGACTATAACAGACACGCTATCTTTAGATATTTACCGAACTAATTGATTGGTGGCGAAAGTAAATAAGTACCCTTTTTAATTTAATTTAATCTTTAATTTTCTTTTTGTTTTTTTAATTGTATTGGCTGCTTTTAGTGGATGGATCAGCATCAACACTTCAACAAAACTAAAAAGGTTAGTTTCTTTCTCTCCCTCGGTTAAGGGAGTTGATCCCTACTAATCAGGGAGTGTTCCCTGATTAGTTGTACTCTTTATAAAGGAGGGGTCATGCCGGATTTTTTTTAAATCCGCTATGAACCTTGCTTTATCAAGAGTAAACTAATCAGGGGGCATTTTCTGATTATGTTTCATTTTGGATAGAGGGGTCATGCCGGTTTTTTTATCGGTAAAGCCCCTTTACAGGCTGAAAGCTAATCGGAAAATGCCCCGATTAGTTTTCTCTTAATAAAGCGAGGTTCTATACCGGATTTTAAGAAAAAAGTCTAGCATTACGCTACTTTATAAAGGGTACATCTAATCAGGGAACAACCCTGATTAATAGAGAGCGATTCTTTAACCGAGAGGATGAATAGACGAACCTGTTTAGTTCTGTTGAAGTGCTGCAATTGCGATAATGAGATCTCGTGCCAAAATCAACAAAATCAGACGTGATTGAACAAAGTTATGACCGTCTGTTTTTACCTTTCCACATAGTTTTCGCGGAAAAAAGTTTTTGCCGCTGCGGAGGAAGCCGGGCATGTCGAGCGGAACGACGGCCGCCGCTTCGCTACGGTCGCCGCGAGCGAAGCGAGCACGACCGCAGCGAAGCACGGCCATCGTGTAGCGAAGACCATGCCCGGCCTACCCTCCGTAGCAGCACAAAAACAGTTTTTCCAGCGAAGATTCAGTTGGTAATAACTTTGTTTAAAATCATCCAATCGAGCTGATTTTCATGTCATTCAACGCATCTCAACGACTTTTTTGAATGAGCTTTATTTTCGTTCTGACTCTGACATTTTCTTCTCCAAAAGTCGTCAAAAGTTTTTGCGTGCTCTATTAATATTCTATTTTTCAGATATTTTAGATAATTTAATTATTTATTTATTTTAAATGCCTTCAAAAGATAAAGTAAACCGGAGGAAACGACGACAGCGTCATTTGGCTGAAAGTGAGTTTGATAGTAATGCAACTAATAGTTGCGGGGTTGAGGGCGTTTCCAATGATGGTTTTTTGTTTAATGTTAATTCAACCCGGGGTAGTATTACAGGTGATGGTAATTCTATGGATTGTTTATCTATGGTTGATGGAGGGGTTGAGTTAGCTTTAGAGAGTGGGGTTGTTTGTGAAGTTAGTGAAGTTGGGAGTGAAGTAGGTGATTGTGAAATGAGGGAAGTTGGTAGGAGATTAGTTAGTTGTGAAATAAGTCAATTTGGTAGTCAAATTGAGTCCAATATTATAAATGATAATTTCTATAATGATTTTGAAAGTGAGTCTGATAGTTTTTCAGTTTTTTCTTTGAATAGTTCCAAAAATAGTGTTTTGTCGTATGAACGGTCAAAAGGTGGTAGGCCAAAAAAAATGAAAAGAAGTTCTGGTAGACCGAAAAAAAATTGTGTAAAGAAAAATAGTTTTGTTAATGAGTTTAATAGTATAAACATAGTTAATACACCATCTAATGATAATTTGAATATGAATTATGTTCCCGAATTTTTATCTATTGATTTGTTGGATATACCTTTTGGTCCGATGCCAAATATTGAAAATAGAATTTTTACTGACGATATTGTTTTTTCAAGGCCCGAAATTATTAATTTGTGGTCAGATCCCAATGAGTGGCTTCAAGATAGTTTCGTTTTTATTTATTTAAAATTTTTATCATATCGTTCCAATTTAAATGTAGTTGTTGTTTCTCCCCAATTTGTTGTAGTTGAACACCATTTTGGTCAGGGTGTTGAGCCTCTTAATATTTTTGATTATTGTTTTAATTATAACCAGGATTATGATATTTTATTGATTCCAATTATTTTTCCTGGACATTTTGGATTGGTTATTTTTGATCGTTCAGATCGTGATAATTTTTCATGCGTTTTTGTTGACTCTTTACCTTCTGTAAATCGTTTAACCGATGTTTCTTGTGGTGTTTTTGATCACAGGCGTGTTGATTTAATTAAAAGGTGTATTTGTGATTTGACACCTGGTCTTTTTGTTGAGAATATAAATATTCAAGTTTTGTCCCGTTCTATGTTTACCGAACAAAGAGATGGAATTAATTGCGGGTTTTATGCTTGTCTTTATTCTGAGTTGTTTTTATTTAATAATAAATCGTTGATAATTCCTAATTTAAATATTCTGTGCGAGAGGAAACGTATTTTATGGAACCTTTCGCAATTGATTCTTTCGAATGATATTGATTATGTTGGGATTTTTGATTATAATCCTAGAAATGCACCAGTAAACGAAAAAATTTTTAATTTTAATTTGGATTTTGGTAATTTTGTGGAAGATAATTGTGTTGTTAATGATTTGCCTGTTTTGAATTTAGAGCCAGATCCGCCATTAAGGAGGTCCGAAAGAATTAAAGCTTTAAAGAATAAAGAGATTTCTGATTTAAATATTAATAATATTAACATTGCCTCTTTAAAAGAAATTACTCCACGATGTCATTGGTCCCATAAATTATATCCTTGTGCAGACGTGCGTGCAAGACATGTTGTTAGCTATTATGATTCTGGAAACATGGGAGACAATGTATGTTTTTATTGTGGAGCAATGTTATTTAACTCAGAAATTAACGATGCACATCTAAAAAAGTTTAAAAAGGTTTCGTCTTCATATTGTTGTCGTTGTGGTGTAATTAAACTTCCATCTTTTAAACCCCATCCTCAATTATTAAAAGACTTAACTAAAGGTGATACTAAGGATTCTAAAAATTTTTTAAAAAAACAAAATGTATACAATTCACTCCTTGCTTTTGCGTCAGTTTATGTAGGCCACAGAGAAACTAAACTTTATGGTGGGGTTTGTTATCTACTAAATGGCGAATTTGTTAGAAAAATGAGTTCAATGATTTCTGGAGACTCTGGGCCCTCATTTTCCCAGTTATACATATTAGATGCTGATACAGCATTTCAAAATCGTGTTTCCAATGTTGCTTACGGTGGTGATAGAGTAGATCCCGATACTTTAAAAAGTTTAGATGCTCTTCTTAGAAATTGTCACCCGTTAGCAAATACTTATAAAAACTTCCATGACCAATATCTAGAAAAGTTAAAAACTGATGGCCCAGATTCTGTACAAAATTTTAGACTCGTACTTTTGGAGGAACGAGAAGCGCCTGAGCTTATAACAGATAATACATTGCACGTTAGACAGGTTAATTTACCTACAGAGGAAACGATGTTTTCATTACACACGGAGTCAGATGAACCTCCTATTTTAAAAGGGCTTTTTATTACTGGAGATCAAGGGAAGTTATTTGTTTTTCCGCCACATCATCCTCAAACAGATACATTATGTTACCCACTTTTGTTTCCGTGTGGAGATGATAGTTATCATAATAAGATTCCGTTTGCAAGAAAAGTGTTAAATGAAGATAAAAGTGATAATGATTGTTCTGATTGCGAACCTGATCCACTTTTAGAAAATAGTCGTAAAAATATTAGTATTCGAGATTATGTTAAATATAGATTAGCAGTAAGGAAACATGAGGATTATCATAATATTTGGAATTCTGGAGGAGGTTTAAGCCAAAAGTATGCTTTAGATTATACAGCTAGAATTGATTCTGAGGTAGCTAATTATTTACGTAATGAAGACATGGATTTGCGTGGTACTATTGGTCCAGATGCGCTTCGGTGGTTACAAAGGGACTCTGGCGCTAATTCTATTGCGGATTTAGGACACGTTGTTTTGTTTAGAGCTTATCACCCTGGCACGCGACCATATTTTCAAGACATGTTCTATGACGCGACTACTCTTATGGCTAGAGTTCGCAAACCTGAAAACGCCTCCTTTATGTTCACTTTTACGAGCAATCCACGTTGGCCCGAAACTAAAAGGAATTTATTTCATAAAAATCAGAAAATTGTGGACAGATTCGATATTATTTCACGTGTTTATGAAGATAAGTTAAGACATTTGCATTATTTATTAAACAAAAAAAATATTTTTGGGAAAATTTTGGGATATGGTGAGAGTAGAGAGTTTCAAAAAAGGATTGGAGGGCCTCATTTACATAGGGTTTTTTGTACCAATATTGTTCCAACTCCTGAAAATATTTCAAACTTAATTTATGCGCATATACCACCTGAACCTCCTGCAGAAGATAATTCTGGGTGGGCTAAATTTATGAGAAAAGTTAGAGAACTGTTACCGCTTTATCAGTTTCATGACTGCTCAGAGCATTGTAAGACACCTAATGGAAAATGTAAAAAGGGGTTCCCAAAGCCTTTTAGTAATATTACTGTTTTGCATGAGAATACGCCGGCAGAGTATTATCGTCCTTCACCTAAAAATGGCGGAGAAGTGTTAAAAATAAAGCGTGGGAAAACAGAAATCACATATGATAATTCTAAAGTAGTACCATATAATCCACTTATTTTGGTTATGTTTCAATGCCACCATAATTTAGAATTCGCTTACGGACAGACTGATAATTTAAAATATGCTTTAAAATATCCTTTTAAAGGTTCAAGTTTTTCCTATGTACGTAGCGAAGCTAGCGGTCTTATAAACGTAGATGAGCCATTGCATTATGCCAGAATGATTTATCGCAGTCCAACTGAAGCGTATACAAGAATTATGTCGTATAAATATGCTTTTTTATCACATATTGTAAAAGCATTAACTATTCATTTACCGAAAAATCAGAAACTTTATTTTACACGTAAAAATACAAGTAAATTGATTAATGCTATTAATTCGGGTAATATACCGGATTCACCTCTTTCTGCTTACTGGAAGTTATGTGATAAGGACTCTGTTGTTAAAAATATACTTTTTGAAAACATGCCCGAAACGTATTCGTTTAATAAGAAAGATAAAGTTTGGAAAAAGTTGCATATTAATGAGAAAAATAAAAACCGCAAGCCTCGTATCGGGAGAATTTTTTCTGTATCACCAAGGGATCCGGAAAAATTTGCTTTATACATTCTAACGAAACATTTTCCTGGCACACCCGAAAATCTTTTAACTGTTAATGGTTATAAATGTGAAACATTTGCTGAAGCAGCTCGCTTAAGAGGACTGTTTGAAGATAATAATGTTTGGGAGCGCACTTTAATAGAGGGTTCTATTTCTTTAAATCCTTCACAAATGAGACAGTTGTTTGCCAATATTCTTGCTTTTGGGGGAACTGAAAAATGTGTAATTGATGGGCTTTTATTATGGAATATGTTTATTGATCATTTTTATGATAGAAGAAGGTGTTCAGAAGCAGAAAAATTAATTAGAATTGACAGAGCATTGGCAGTTATAGAAAAAATGTTACTTAGTCAAGGTCGTACTTTACAGGAATTTAATCTCCCTTCTCCAAATCGTCCATTAATAAATGATCCAGACAGGGCTCTTGAAGACTTTTTCTTTCCACATCATATTAACGATGATGAAATGGATGAAGCCGTTGACACAACTATTTTTGATAACGCGAATTTAAATCCCGAACAGCAAAGATTCTATAATCTAATTCGCTCTTCTGTTTTAGATCCGTTCACTAAAAATAAATTATTTTTCTTGTCTGGTGATGGGGGTACAGGGAAAACCTTCCTTCTAAATTATGTTATTTATAAATTAAGGGAAATGAGACAAAAAGTATTAGCGACAGCTTCGACCGGAATGGCTTCAACTAATTATTACTCAGGTGGGATGACATTTCACTCTGCTTTTAGGTTTGGTATTAATGTTGAACCAGGAGTTATACCACCTGTAACAGTAGATAGTTATTTTGGGCGTAGAATTATTGAAGCTAATGTAATAATTATTGATGAAGTTACAATGTTAAATAAGACAGTTTTTGAAAATGTTAATCTTTTGTGTAAAAAATTAATTCCGCAGTTTAAAGATCAGCCGTTTGGGGGGAAAATTGTTATAATATCTGGTGATTGGAAGCAGTCCCTTCCTGTAGTTAATGAATCTTCGGCACCTGGAGCACAGGTGGCTGCATCAATTCAGTCCTCAGATTTATATAGCAGATTTGAAAAACACAGATTGTTACAAAATATGCGTGTTATACCTTCAGAAATTCAGTTTAAAGATTGGCTTTATAGTATAGGAACGGGTCAAACAGGTGAATCAGTTAGTATACCAGAAAGAATGAGAGTTAATTCACGGCAAGACTTGTATGCGTTTGTATTTAACACAGGGTTTGGAGCGCCTGTTAATGAATTGTTAAAACGTTTAATTCTTTCGCCAACTAATAGAGTAGTTGATATGATTAATGAAGAAATTATAGAATTAATTGATTCGCCTGTTCAAGAATATTTGTCAATAGATAATCCCACGAGTGAAAATCCTTTTGCGTATAATTTAGCTGATTATGAAGTTGCGCAATTGAACAGACTTACCCCAATAGGCATGCCGGCCCATAATATTAGACTTAAAGTTGGTGCAGTAATAGTTTTGCTTCAAAATCTAAATACCCAAAAGGGTTTATGTAACGGTACCAGAATGATTGTTAGGCGTTTACACCAAGATTTAATTGAAGCAGAAACCATAAGTGGTTCTTCTGACCGTGGTATTACTATAGGAATATGTCGTGCAAGAAATAGTTATAAGGATCTCCGACCTGACCAAGTTAGTTTTGAAAGGTTTCAATTCCCAGTAAGGGTAGCCTTTTGTATGACTATTACAAAAGCCCAAGGGCAAACTTGTGAACGTTTAGGAATTGATATTAGCGATGAACCCTTCGCTCATGGGCAAACATATACCGCATTTTCACGAGCCAGAAGTGGCGAAAATATTAGAGTGTTTGCACCTGGAAAAAACCCCGATAATAATGGAAATGTATCTATGAGAAACGTTGTAGCACGCGGTATCCAATTTGACTAAATTTATATGAGCAGACTGCCGATATATTTTATTTACGTTAATTCTCTCAATCAACTTCTTTTTAATATTCCACCAACATTCCATTCAGTCATCAATTAACCCTGTCCGCGGTTGACCCCAATTGATTTACTTCTCACTTTATTTAGGTAACTTGATTGAAATTTACAAAAATTTTAAAAATATTTCAGCAAAGGTTATAATGTAATTCTTTTTTAATTATTTGTCTATACGTTCAAATAAATTGAGAAGTACCGGGTCCGTTGGTGTATTCGCACCAATCGATCTGGGTTTTGGGTTTGACTGACAATGGTTGACTGGATTTTAGGACAGGGGGCATACCAGTTAATTGTTCTGTTTGTTTGTTAAATAATTTAGTTAATGATTTAAAAATAAAATTTAATTTTTCGGTAGAGTATATTTTTATTTTTCTTTTATTAAGTTTTCAATTTGAGTTTTAAGATTTAAACAATTAACTGGTATGCTTTATCATAACTGTTTTATATTCTGAAATAATACAAGGTTGTTGTTTCTCAATATGGAACAATTATGAGTTTCCGATATTTACTTTACATCCAAACATGAGCGGAATACCATCATGTACCGATTTTTAGTGAAAATTAAAAATTATGATTAAAGATATTTAAAAAAAAATAAATTAAAAAATATAAAAATGTAAATTCTTTATAAACAATACTATTGTCATTATCCACCTTTATTAAATTGTGCTATATGCGTGAGCGGAATGCCGACACGTATCCACCTTTATTAAATTGTCCTATATGCGTGAGCGGAATGCCGACACGTATCCACTTTATTAAATTGTCCTATATGCGTGAACGGAATGCCGAACGTATCCACCTTTATTAAATTGTCCTATATGCGTGAGCGGAATGCCGACACGTATCCACCTTTATTAAATTGTCCTATATGCGTGAGCGGAATGCCGACACGTATCCACCTTTATTAAATTGTCCTATATGCGTGAACGGAATGCCGAACGTATCCACCTTTATTAAATTGTCCTATATGCGTGAGCGGAATGCCGACACGTATCCACCTTTATTAAATTGTCCTATATGCGTGAGCGGAATGCCGACACGTATCCTTTATTAAATTGTCCTATATGCGTGAGCGGAATGCCGACACGTATCCACCTTTATTAAATTGTCCTATATGCGTTGTACGGAATGCCGAGACGTATCCACCTTTATAACTTTCCTATATGCGTTGTACGGAATCCCGAGACGTATCCACCTTTATATACTTTCCTATATGCGTTGTACGGAATCCCGAGACTTTATTAAAAATATATAACATATAAAAAACAAAAAAATTTTTTTAAATCGATCTTATTTAAAAATACCCTATTAAAAATATTTATCATTTTAAATTTTTAAAATTTTAAAATTAAATTTTTTATCTTTTTTTCAAAACTTTTTTCTGTGCCAGCGGTTCTAACCGGGCACGGGGCCTACGGTTGCACCGGGTCGGGGTACAGGGTTTGACCGTTTTCCTCCGTGCACCTCCACGTGGTGTACCCTGGGAATTGTTATATAATGTTTAAATATTATAGAACTTTGTAATATAATATTTGTTATATATCATTGTTATATAATATTTTAATATTATACAACAATGGCTAAGCACGGTTAAAAACGGGTTGTTGTAAATTTTACGAAGAAAAAAAGCCTTCTAGCGGCGCCCCAAAGCCGTTAGGCTTTCCAACGGGCAGAATTTCTTAACCAAAGGCTCCCCCATTTAAATTTCTGACGTAAGTAAACCCATAGCTAGTTAGAATAAAATAATGAATACATATTTAAATAATAAAAACATATTTTTTTACTCACCTACTTTGAAAATCACCTACTGTTGTTTGAAAAAAATTAAGAGAAGAACTTTCTCTTTCTGTTGAAGTATAGAATGATTGTTCATCAGTAAATTCATCATCTATAGGCATTTCTAAACGTCCATATTTAACAATAAACATTGCCTGAAATTATTTTATTTTAATAATAATTTAACAAAAATATTTATTTTTTTTTTGGTTTTACCCCTCACAATTTTTAAAAATTATTAAAAATTTTTAATTTTTAAATTACTTAAAATCAATATATATTCAATATATTCACAAAAAACTTAATCATAAAGTTTTACCGGAAAGTGTAAAAATATTATGAATGAGGCAAACATTAAAAGAACAAAATGAAAAGGAAAAGCCACAAAACATTAGTTTATTTGTAAAAATATACATATTAAATTTTAAAGAAGAAAAATGAAAAAAATAATTTATTTATTGGCTAAATTTTTTTAAATAATTTTAGAATTTAAATTTAATGCAACAAATATTTTATTTAATTATTTATTTTATTTTAATTCCATTAACTAATTCTATTCGATGTTTTGAATGTTCTTCAGTAAATTTATAATTTTAATTTAATATTTACTTATTTTGATTAAATAAAGGTAGCATCTGGGGGTGACAGAATTTGTAGTAAATATGTGGGGACAAGTTGTTCTTATGGATTTTTTGGTTGTGTTAAAGTAGCTACTTATGGTTAGGAATTTTAAAAAATTATTAAAATAATTTTTTTAAATTTAAGATGGAGGTGTTGATAAAAGTTTGTTTATTGTTTTGAATAGAGTTGTCGGTTCTGGACTGAACCGATGAACCGATGATTTTTCGGTTCAGATATCGATTCGGTTCCGGATATCCGAAGATTTTCCAAGAACCGACTACCCTAGTTTTGAATTTAAAAATTAATTTAAAATTTGTTTAAGTGGGCAATTTCATTAACGATCCCTCAGCTATAGTATCAATTGTTCGTGGTTGTAATATTCTACCTTTAGGTGGGGTAGATGCTTGTCAACAACAAGTTATTTTGGGATATAGAATTATTACATGTAAATAAATATTTTTTAATCAAAAGAAAATAATTTCTCTAAAGGTTTTTGTTATTCTGATTATTGTAATGGAACAAAACAAAATGATTTAAGAATATTAACTATTATAATATTTATTTTATTTTTTGTTTTATTTTATATTTTTATTTTATAATTTAAATAGAATTTTATAATTATTTTTTATTTTCAAATTTAGTAAAAATAAACCTACTTTTGGTGTTTCCCCTTTTCTACAAACAATATCTCCAGGGCATAAACGTAATGTTTGTAGTCTAATAGCTAATTCACTTAATAAGGCTCTCTCACATAAAGAAAATACAGGCGAACCAATTAATGCCCTAACATGTGATTCTGCTGCTAATTCTAATCCAAGACGAGGAGGCAAAATTTGAAATAAATTCTTTTAAATATTTTTGTTAAATTAAAGTTGGCGGGTATTGGGATCTTAATCTAAATTTGTTATTAGGACTTGGGAATATCTTTTCCAATTCCGACCAATATCTGTCGGAATCCCAATACCTTCCAATACCCAAATATTTAAAAGCACCTTTTCGTCTTCATTTAATCTCCTTCCCCAAATCCACTGATATTCAATCCAATTAATTACTCTATTATATAATTGTGTATTAACATTTCTAATTCTCATATATCTTTTACATCCATCAGTTATTTCTTGAAATTTAACTTTTTCTAAATGGGCATTACTTACCTTTTAAATATACTTTTATTTTTAAGTATAATTTTTAAATTTACCATAATCCCAATATCCCCAATAATTGCCGCAAATAAAAGTAGCCCAATTAAAGTATCAATTATTTCAAATGCTGTTTGAACGCTATTTGCTGGCCAAGGCTTTTTTTTAACAATTTATTAAAAATTAAAGATTTACCCTTCTACCTGTTCACCTAAAGTAACAAGCGTTAAGGCAGACCAATAAAAACTCATTGCATATTTTTTTGTTAAATTGTTAAATTTGGTTGATCCAATTCTTTTAATTAATTTTTTAAAAATATTTTTTTTTAAATTTAATATAAAAACTTTTTTTGCCAATAATTTTTTAATTCATTAATTTTCTCTGGTCGATCCCTCCAATTTTCTTCTGGGAAAAGACATTCATTTCGGTTAAAATCAAATCGTGGTTCGCATAAGGGAAATAAAAGGTCGGGAATCTAAAAATAGAAAATACTAGATTTCAGAAATTATTTTCTAAAACTTTTTGATAAGAAAAAGTCCAATCATTTACTGTGGAATCTAAAAATATTTATTTAAATTTTAAGAAAATTCCTTTATTTATTTACTTTCAAATCCATATAGAGAACTTAAATAAAAATAAAAACAAGCATTCCAATGAAAAAGTAAATAACAAAAAGTAGCTAGACGTAATAAACGAAATCTAAATATTTTTGTTTAAACAACCAAAAATATTTTTAAAATAACCCAAGTGGCCACGGAATTCGATGCTCAATTAATTTAACAATCTCGCTAACCCTTCCAATTTTTGCGAGACGATTAATTCGAAGTAAAAAGAAATTAGGCCAAATTAAAAGTAAAATATCTGTGGGCAGAATAGCTAATAAATCGAGTAGAAATGCTCGACTATAAATTAAAAAATTAAAAAAACCAAAAATTATTTTAACCAAAAAATATATTTTCGAATAGATATGTAACGATTATTGCCAAATCCATCTAGTGTAAATCCTAAATTTTATTAACTAGGCAGTTTTTAAAATAATCCTTTTACCTTTCTTAATTTTTACAAATAAATCCAAAACATTAATGGCATCAGTAAAACAATTAATTAATATCCATTGAGTATAAAACTTTTCAGAAAATTCGGAAAAAACAACCATACAAATTGATAAAATATTGTGAAGGAATGCAAGGGTTAAAAATACACACCAAACCCCACCAAAAATTGAGGAATCAACAATTTTCATATTTTTTTAACTTTTGTAGGTAAATAAATCGGTTTTTAAAATTTATATTGGAATATTGGGGATAAAATATTTTATAAAATTTATGTTAGATGAAGGTTTGTCAATAAACTCAATACTGTTGGAGAAATTGTTAGTAGACGACTGTGAATATAATTTTTAAGCTAAGCTGCCAAGTTTTAATTTTACATTAATGAAAAATAAAATGTTTTTATTTTTATGAAAGAGTTAAGTGGTTTTATATCTAAAAGCTTCTTTTACATTTTAAATATTTTAAAAAGTCATGCAAATATATTAAATATTTAAATATTATTTTCAATTCTTCTTTTCATTATTTGTTGTAGACCTCTCCAAAATTGCAAGTGTATCCCCAACTAAATGAAGACTTCCTGTTATTAAAACATGTAATTCATAGTCTTTAGCCATATTTAAAGAATATTTGGTAACCCATTCAAGTGTTTGAGAAATACAAGAAAAACAATGAGCATTTGGTTTAGTTGAAGAGATTTGGTTGGAAGTTAGCAAATTATTGTTGTTGTTGTTCTCAATCTAAAAAGTGAAAAAAATTAATTAGAATATTTATATTTTTATGTAAGTTGATTTTTTTGTAAGTTGATTTTCTAAATATATTTTTAGTTATTCCTTGCAACTACCTATACATAGTATATGTATATGCGTGGAATTATTTTAATAATTTAAGTTCTTATTACCAGGGCTTACAGATTTTAAATAAACATTTTCAATTTTGTTCCTCGCTTTTTTCCTCAAAAATATTATAATGTTTAGTGTTTTTTCTATAACAATTTTCTGCCAAATTAAATTTAAACCTTTTTGATCAGTTTTTTAATTTGAGGATGCTATAAAAAAGTTTTTTGGGGAAAAATAGGGGGAGGGAAGGGGGGCGTGGGTGAACGAAATTATCAATTAATTTGATTTTTAAATTTATTTTTCTTTCCCTTACTTTATTTTCAAATAATTCCATCCACAATTGTTTGTCTTTAAAACACCTTTTCAATTCTTTTGACGAATCATGATTTAAATTAATAGAGTCATTAATTAAAGAATTATTTTCTTCAATAATTGCTGGACAAAAAAGAGCGGCATTAAAATTAAAATTCTTTTTTTAGAAAAAAATATTACTATTTAATTTTTAAAATTATTATTTTTTTACTTTAAAAACGGGTAAAAGTTGCAAAGAATCTCTATAACCAGTACAATGAAAAATTAATAAACGTTGTATTTTATTATTATTTTTGAAAGAATTTTCTTTAAACCATTGTGCACAATACTTTAAAAAGAATTATTTTTTGAAAATTTATTTTAAAATAAATTTTACTTTAATACTTAAAGGAGTATGTGCTCCGTCTAGAAAATAAAAAATATTTTCTTTTTGTAAAATTTGACTTCTTCCAAGCCATTTACAATTAAATAATGCTTTGTAAATATTTTCGTTAACTTCAAATCCATCCAAATTATTATTTAATTCTGTCGTTTCTTTTGGCAAATTTTGAGTAAAAAATGGAAGGAAATTACCTTTTTTAAAGAGAATTGTTTAGTAAAAGTATTCTAAAAATTCACCCTTTTTTGTTGAATTAAGACAAAAAATACGGGCTAATTGCAAAGCTAGGGAAACATTTAAATGTTGATGATAACCACTTATTCCAAATTTAATATTTGAATTTGGCCATTTATATGAATTAATTGTTGAGGGAACAATCAAGAATTTAGACTTTAAAATATTTTGTTTATTTTTAAATATTAATTTTTAAATTTTTACATTTATTTCTTTACATCTTTGCTTTATTACTTCAATTGCTTCTGGTGGTTGTTCAACAGTTAACAATGTACAATCAGGTTTGGCTATACCAGCTTTATGCCAAGCAATTTCAGGAATACTTGAGCCAAGGATACTAAATAGGTATTTGAATGAATGTTTTTTATATTTATGTTTTTATTTTTTTTATGTTTTTTATATTCAGAATTATTTTTTAAAAATTATTTCTTTTTATTTTTTATTTCAGTCTGATAATTCGGAAAAATTAAATAGTTTTTTGTTTATTTAACCAAATAATTTTTATTGCAAATTCAAAATTGATATTCAACATATAATTTTTGTTCACCTTGTATGGTCCAAATCTAACGTTGTAATTCCACAAACAATTGGATTTTGAATTATATTTGTACAATCACCTTCACCTTTAATAAAAAATTTCATTTTATTCACTTAGTTATCAAAAATAGTGGAATTATTATTTTTAATAGTCTTTAAAGGTCTTTAATAATCTTTTTTCTATTAATAAAAATTCACCTCCAATTCCCACCTCAACAATAGCAACATCAACCTTCTCCACATAAAATATATAAAAAGCCATAATTGTTAAAAATTTAAAATAACCGGGCATTTTCTTTAAAAAATTTTTTAATTTAATATTTTTTGTTTCTAATTACTTCCTGATTTTGAAGAGAATCCTTCAAAGTATTAAAAACATGAAAAAAATGTTTGGCAAATAATTCTTCACTAATTGGTTGACCATTAATTTGTATACGTTCACGAACGTGAATTAAATGTGGAGAAGAATAAAATCCTGTTTTATATCCAAGTTGACGTAAAATAAATTCTAAAAAGGCACATGTTGAACCCTTTCCTTTAGTGCCAGCAATGTGAATACAATTTAGTGAGTCTATATCGGCAAGCTATAAAAGTTAAATATTACATAAAATTTTGTAGTAGAAAACTATTTTTCTCAAATCTAAATTTAATTCATTTCAAACCTAGCTAGGGTTGCCAAAATGAGTTGGACCGAAAGATCAAGACGGGCCTAAATGTTAGGTCCGAAAGTGTCTCGTAAACCCCCAACTCGACAAAGTTAGACCCGAAAGTGACTCTTACAGGCCCGACTCGATAAAAACAAGCCCGTAAAAAATGCCTCGAACGTCGGCCCGACTCGAAAACGGCAACTCTATTCCTAGCATCGAAAAGGTTTAAAATATTTCAGACACACCGAAATATTCAGAGGTGTCAAACATTCCATCATTTCCTCTAAAACATCTTGCCTATTTTTTCGTTTTTTTAAATTAATGGCAGCAGAAATTATTTGATTATTGCTTTGAAGACAATTAAGTTGATAAACTGCTTGCTAAAAAATACTTATTATTATTTTTCACATTTTTTTTGATTTTTTATTACTTGATATAGATTAATTGTAGTATTTCCATCACCTTTTAATTCACTTAAGTTTACTTTTCCATTATGTAACATTATTATAGGAATTTTTGTTAATGGGACAATCGATGATAATGGTAGTACATTAATAAATGAAAAGGTTCGACGGTAATATTTTGTTGATAAAAACCCTAAAAAAGGGAAAATTTTCAATTAAAATTGATCAAATTAACGGGTAATAGTGATAGGAAAAATTGAAAAATAATTCAACTAAAAATGATTAATAGTCCAACAAAAAGGTAAAAATAATCAAAAAGACTAGATCAAAAGTTCGCTTTTTTCACACTCTTATCAGAGACTTTTTCCTAGTAGAAACTAATTAGTGTTATTTAACCTGAGATTATTCTACAAAACATAATTTAGTAGTCGGAAATAAAGATTCAAAACTGATAATTTCAAAAACATAATTGTCTAAAATGCAAGTAAAAAACCGACGTAAAAACATGTGAGAAATTATTATGCTTTCTGAATAACTAAATCATTCGAGTGAAAAAAATAATTATTTTATCATTTTTACCCAATTTTTATGAATCACGACAAAAAAAACGATTGGCCCAAAATATTAAAATAACCAAAAATACTAATTAAAAGAAATTGATATTCATATTTTTTATTTAGAAATACTTAAATGAGAGCTTATCGTGAAAAAGAATTTTTATAACAAAAATGGGGTCCGCGTAAATAATTAAAAAATATTTATTTTAGATTGAAACAAAAATAATGTTTTAATTTGTACTTTTAAAAGATCCCCGGCCAAAGTATTCAAAAGAATAGTTTGAATGTTCAGAAGATATAGGGGTTTATGTATCTTTCAAGATTTATTTCTGTATTTTTTAATTTATAAAAGAAAAATTGGAGGAAATTTTTGAGACAATCTAAAAAATAACAGATTCGGATTTAATGATTCATCAATCAGGGCAAAAGCAAAATTTGGAATTCAAAAGTGGGTTTTTAAAGAAAATCGTCTACTTTATCGTTAAATCTTTTTTTTGTTACAAATATTTTTACCCTCCACCATCAATACGGTTTGAATCCAGAAGAATGTGTTTTGACAGGCATTGAAGCACGTCCACGAGGAATAAAACCACGCTGAAGCATATTAGTAGTAGCACTTAAACGACCACGTGGAGGATAACCTCCCCCGCCTCCATGACCATGCCCACCGCGCGATCGAGAAGGCAATGAACTTTTCACTGAGAAAAATAATTTTTTGATTAAAATTTCAAAATAAAATATTTACTCGGTCCGCCAGGAGAATCTGCTCCATTCTTTTTATCACCGTCCCCTCCATCACCACTACCTTCCCCGTCATCATCTTGTTTTGTTGGATTCGGTTCAGTTGTGATACCTTCAATATGTGTGTCTTTAACCTGAAAATTAAAAATCAAAATTCTCATTGAAATATTCCTTGCAAGTAATTATATAGTTAAAGAAACTAACTGGTTGAAGTAATTCCGAAAGAACATTGAGAACACCTGCAACCCGTTGATATGCAACTGCTGGCGGAGCTGTTGTCTCAACTTTGACGTGAAGAGGACCGCCATAATGCTAAAAACATTTAAATTGGAATTTGAAAAAAACTAGAATAAATTACCGCGTATTGTGGATCGCCTCCAGCTAACAATTCCTAAAATTTTTTTGAAAGTTTATTAATATAGTGGAATTAAATTTAAAATAATATTTTGTTTAAAAATAAGTTTACTGGTAAATTAGATAAGAGCAATTACCTAAAAAATTTTGGAAAAAACTTAAAACTGCTAAAAAAATTACAAAAAATTGT